CCTGCTTAAAGCGTCGTTGAGGTTTGTTTGGTGTTCGCTGGGGTCGGTTGGTGTTCGTTGAGGTTTGTTTGGTGTTCGCTGGTGTCAGTTGGTGTTCATTGGGGGTCGGTTGGTGTTCGTTGGGGTTTGTTTGGTGTTTTTGGGGGTTTGTTTGGTGTTCTCTGGGGGTAGGTTGATGTTCGCTGGGGTTTGTTTGATGTTCGCTGGGGTCTGTTGGTGTTCGTTGGTGCTCATAAATTTCAACGTGTTTAGCTTTGTTCGACATTGGGGAAAAAAATATCCTACAAAAAATGATTTATGTCCCTACTCTTACACAATAACTCTTCACTATGATGAACGATGGGGCTGTGGTGATCCCTGTCCTCCTGATGGTGTGTAAACTAATGTGGTGTTTATAGTGAACGACTCTGAACGATGCTGTAAAGACACGTTATATACTCGATTGACATTAATGCTATAAATCTTTAAAAACAGAGAGAACAAGGAAATTTTCCTTGGAAAGACGGATCAGTGTATAGTGTTGATGACCCAATGTTACCGGATACGATTCAAGGGTGTGTATAGCGAAAACCTAACTCACACACGGGATCTGAATTATCTTGAAACAGTGCTCAGGACAGAACAGACCAGGACAGAACAGCCCAGGACAGAACAGCCCAGGACAGAACAGCTCAGGACAGAACAGCCCAGGACAGAACAGCCCAGGACAGAACAGCCCAGGACAGAACAGCCAAGTGTGAACCACGTGTAAGAAATTAGTGTCCTTACTTGGGGCAGAACTTTGGACTTTTGGTTGAAGAAGTAAGTGTTGTTATAATGACGACCCGTAGTGAACAGCGGCCTCAGTTGCTGTACTCTGCCAGCAACACCGAGGCTCCCCAGGGCGGCGCCAGGCCAGAGAAGGAGGGCCAGGATCCCCCCTCCTCTACGCCCTCCTCCTCCACCCCCTCCGCTCAGGGGGAAACTGGCGCTACTGCCCCTTCACCCACCACCACCATCACCACCCCGAGTGTAATTGGTGTTGAGGGTAGTGGTACTGGTGGTGGTGACGTCGTTAATGGTGATAGTGGTGTTAGTGTTGATGGTGGTGGTGAGAGTGAGGGAGGAGGAGGAGGTGGAGGGAAGGCGGGTGTTAGTAGTGGTGGTGGTGGTGGTAGTGAGTGCCCCACCGTCGTCACTAAGGCCGCCACGCCCACCACTACCACCACCATCACCTCCACCAGCTCCACCACTTCCTCCGCCCCTCCACCACAACACCACTTCCACCTCGAGCCCCAGTACACCCATCTCAAGGATTACACAGCCGAGGACCTCAAGGTAATACTTCAAGTTATACCTTTGTGTGTGTGTGTGTGTGTGTGTGTGTGTGTATTAATAACAGTTAGTAGAAGCTCATATTGACTTACAGAACAACATATCTCTTCAGGTAATGTACTTAACGGGGTGATTATTTACCGTTAGAATTCATTTAAAGAGTTTAGTGTTGGTAGTTGCTTTCTTTGTTGTCGTTCGTGAGGGTTTCGTGTGCTTGGAGAATATTCCCTGCGTGATTCTAGCGTTCGTGATTGGCGCTGTGGGTTATTAAAAATAGTCAAGTCTCCGAGGCTGTTGATTGGTGCGAGGGCTGTGACGTCGCGGAGTTGGTGATGACTGGGTGGACGAGGGGGTCGAACTACGTCACTTCCCCGTGTTGACCAATCAGCGACGAGAAGAACGCCGTTTGGTAGGTGTTTATTTTTCATCAGATAGATTCTCTTATCGACCAGTCAGAAGGTTAGAGCATTATGACGTAATATTTTATCGACCATCCAGAAGGCCAAGACATTATGACGTAATATTTTATCGAGCAGTCATAAGGCCAGGACATTATGACGTAATATTTTATCAACCAGTCAGAAAGGCCAGAACATTATGACGTAATATTTTATTGAATAATCAGAAGGCCAGAACACTAACGGTAATTTCCTGAGTCCTTCGCCTGCAGTGTCATTGAACCCTAGTTTATTTATAATGGCGGTTTTCCTGTTAACATGACGTATCGATATTTATTGACCAATCGCAGGCTTCAGATCTGATGACGTAATTATATGAATTGACCAATGACGAGCACCGAGGTTGAGGATTGGTGATATAAATATTCCCATTAACCAATTATATTCTCCAGGCCTGTGACGTCACGTAGTTAGATTGAGTGTAGTTGAAGGCCACGAGTTTGACGGCGTAGTTGTGTTATACTGTTTTATTGGCCCATTTGAGACACTTAATTGGTGTAGTTAGTTATGGAAGGGTTCAATTAAGGTGTATTGGATGGTTAATTGACGTGAATATTGTAACGAGTCAATGGCAGGAGAGAGAGAGAGAGAGAGAGAGAGAGAGAGAGAGAGAAAGATGTTTATGCTGTGTCTGTAATCGAAAAATCAATGTCAGGTCAGGTCAGGTGTGTCAGGTCAGGTCAGGTCAGGTGTGTTAAGGGGTTTTATGTGTGTCCATGTGCTTGAGGGGTTCATTCATGGGTTCACTCCAACAGTATCGTGGTGACTGAACCCCTGACACCCCTGAGTTCAACCTTGAGTACGATGCCAACCTCTTTGAGTATAGCCCCTGCTGTGAGATGTCTTGGTATCTTGAGTACGATGACTTTACCCCTTGAGTACATTTGTAGCCCATTGAGTGAGATGTTTTAACTTTGAGTACGAATTGACTTCATCCCTGAGTACTTAGCCCATTGAGTACAGAATGGACCTCTTGAGTAAATGATGATCTACCTCTTTGAGTACATTTATAGCTCCAGTTGAGGAGATGTTTGACTTCTTTTGAAAAGGATGACTTGACCTCCTGATTAAAAAAGATCAAGTTTATGCCCTGAGTGAACATTCAATGACCTCAAAGACGATGACCTATTCAGAGTAATAGATGACCTTGGAAGGAGGGAGAGGGGGGAGGGGGGAGGGGGGAGGAAGGCAATATCTCATTGTTGGGCTGCGGCAAACTGGGTATTGTAAATTCATTTTCTCACGAGCTCGTTTCCTTGCCCTCTGCCCCTTCCCCCTCTGACCCTCCCCCCTCTGCCCCCTCCCCCCTCTGCCCTCCCCTCTGCCCCCCTCCCCTTCCCAGAGAATTTTATTAACCAACTTCCTCTCCTCCCTTCCTCCACCTCTCCCTCTCCCCCCACCTCTCCCAACCCGGAATATTACATGTATATAAACATTAGAGCCTAACCACAGCTATTATTGAATAGTCTCGCTGTTACGAAGACCAGGGTGAAGGAAGGTGAGGGAGGGGAGGGGAGGGGAGGGGAGGGGAGGGAGGGGGAGGGGAGGGAGGGAGGTGAGAGAGAGAGAGAGAGAGAGACTAGTCGAGTTTGTGGGCTGACCTGGCCTTCTCCACACACACACACACAGCACACACACACACAATAAAATATTAATGAGGTCTTTAAATTACGTCACTTATTTGCATATTAGGACGGAAGGTATTGACGGGGGAGCTCTTAAACCCCAGGACGTGTGTGTGTGTGTGTGTGTGTGTGTGTGTGTGTGTGTGTGAGACTTGTCTTCGAAATTATAATCTATTTTTTCTTTTTTCTTTTATTCTTACTTTCTCACCTTCCTACACCTTCATCCGCCCGTCTGTCTTTCTCTCCACCCACCCACCTGCCTCTCCGCCCTCCCGCCCGTCACCTTCCTAGCCAGGGCCATTGGGGCGGGAGTATAAGGTCAGCCGGCGGGGCCCCAATCGATCGGGTCCAGTGGGTGTGACCTTTATTGCCCTGGCGCCTACTGTCTGGTGACCTCACGACCTTGCCAAAGTTCAACCTAGGTCATGGAAGACGAGATTCTTTATGTATGTATGTACGGTGTGGTGTGGTAAGCAAACTACGCACAGACACATGATACACACGTCTCTCTACTCACCCAACATAACTATGGAGGGAAGTCTGGCTGGCCCGCCCGCCCTCCTACCCGCCCGCCCTCCTACCCGCCTGCCCCTCCTACTCCCATCATGTGACTGGATTCTTCATCAGTTTGTTTTCTCAGTCCCCTTACCCCTGGCTCTCAGTGTGTGTGTGTGTGTGTTCCTCTTGATACGGGTCTACAGTGGTACTAATACTAATGGGTGGTGTTTTTTTGTTTTACGTGATGCTCTTTTGATATAAGTTATGTGTTTTTATTTTTTATATCGGGGTAATTTTTGTTATTTGTTTTATTGTAACACTGACAGTCGTAATCTTATTTTGTAGCTTGAGTCCTTGAGTTCTGTTCACTTGTTCAGTTTTATTCAGTCAAATCGTCATTCAAGTTTACACTGATTCAGCATGTTTATAGACAATGACTGTATCGCACTATTCATACACGCTTCATAATTATACATACATACACAGTAGGCTACACACTATACATAGAGTACACAATATAAATACAGAGTACACACTATACATACACACTTCACAATATACATACACAGCTCTCAAGACTTTGGTTGTGAAATGTGTGATATGTTAACCCAGCAACATTATCACAGGGAGAGAGACTCAGTCACAATATGGGCGTTAATATTATAAACATACAGTATTGATTAATTATATCTGAGTTTACCTTCAATCTGCTTCAACGAATCTGATCAATAAATTTCAGTTGATATCTCCCTCTTCATAGTGTTGCATTAAGCTGATGATAAAAAAATACACCATTATAAAAAAGAAAAAAAAACTAAAACAAATTAACACTTTTCATGTACTATATTTGATCACTGAAATTAGATTACAGAAATTACAGTACATCTTGTGTTTTGGTATGGAATTATAAAGTACTGTGGCTAGTTTTTGTTTGTCCATTTATCTAACTCTTTGTGTGTGTGTGTGTGTGTGTGTGTGTGTGTGTGTGTGTGTGTGTGTGTGTGTGTGTGAAACAAGCCCATCACTACCAGTCACCCAGTTAGATATTTCGTGACAGTTTTCCCCAGTTATTATAAAAGTATTATAATTGATGTCTCTCTTTCAGGATGCCAGCTTTGTGCTCTCCGCCCTGGTGGCAGCTGTCGAGGAGGGTAACCTGCCCGGCCTCGAGAAGCTCTTCAATGTTGCACAGAATATTGATGTCAACATGGCTAACAAGGTATGCATAGTACAGGATATGCAAAGTACATGGTATACATAGTACAAGGTATCCATAGTGCAAGGTATACATTGTACAGTACAAGGTATGCTGAGTAAAGATATGTATAGTACAAGGTATGCACAGTGCTATTGCATATGCAGCTGTGGAATTTGAGTGTAAATAGAATTGGGGGTTAATTGGATATTGAGGATACAGTGTAGGGAGCAGAGGGGGAGGCTGATGGAGTGTGTGATTGGTTTTATTGAGAGGGAGGAGGACCTGTGTGTGTGTGTGCATTGAATTTTACATATATTGGGCATTTGAATATATTGTACTTTTTTTTTTTGACAGTGTACATTTTACAGTATTACAGATAACCTTAGCATTCTCTCTCTCTCTCGCTTTTTTTCACTCTCTCCCTCTCTCTCACTCTCTCTCTCCCACCCATCAGCATGGCGAGAGTGCTATCCACCTCTCTTGCGGTTTGGGGCAGTTAGAGCCACTCAAGTTCCTGGTGAAGAAAGGTGGCGGACTTGACGCTACAGATGCCCAGGGCGACACACCTCTGCACTGGGCTGCTCGTCAAGGCCACGCCCATGTCATCGCTTACCTCATCGAGCAAGGAGCACAAATCAACACTCAAAATAAGGTTGGTGTTTCTTTAAATGATTTTTTTTTGTGTGTGTTTGTTGGTGGTGAGTAAATTTTTGCTTTCTGTGTTATATTGGGATTCACCAAAAGGTTAGATACCCGCAGCTTATTTGACATTGAAGATTAACTGCCCTAATGCTAATCTAACCTAAGCTAAACTAAACTTAGCCTTCACTAACTGAACCAAATCTAAACTAGCTTAACCTAACCTAATCTAACCTATTTCCCTCCCTCCCCCCCCTTACATTATCATTAAAGTGGTTAGTCTTCAGGTGAAATAAGCTGGGGGGGTTTAATCTTCATGTACTAATAATTTTCCTTCTGATGAATCTATATATATACATTAACTGTATCTTAATTAATTAATTTTATTTTACTTTATTGTACTGTATCTTATTTTATTTATTTTTTATTTACAGAACGGAGAGTCGTGTCTTCATGTGGCATGTCGGTATGGCCACACAGTTGTCGTTCAAAACTTGTGCCTCTGTAACATGAATCTGGATCTGCAGGATGAGGTGAGTCACTGGTGTCAGAGATGATACTGTGCCTTGTTTATTAGCCAATGCACATTTGCTATCATATGATGTACTTGTTTAGTGATTTAAAGTGTAGTATGTTAATATGCATAATATCAAGATCCAACATAAGCTGTCCGTAGCTTCTTGACACTCAGTGAAAGGCACACTACCATAGTTAGTTATATAGTTACAGTTTTGCCAGTTTTAATGCATTTCAACATAGCAGTTGTTATAGATTACTGTATAGTCACCTTAGTTAAGAGTATAGTGTATCCTAATGTGAAGGTCTGTAGCCAAGCTAAGCCATAGATTTTGTTGACATTCTCTGATTCACGTTGCACTGTCTGCCGTGCTCCTGTGCCGTCTGTTGACACTATTTTGAGGGTATGTTTGTGTATTGGTGTTTATTTAGCACGGAGAGACAGCGCTGCACATTGCGGTCTGGCACGGCTTCCCACGAATTGTTCATCACCTGTGTTCTGCTGCAGCTAACACTGAACTTACAGATAAGGTGAGCCTCTGTTCATGTGTGGGTACTGTACCTTATGGTCTTTGTCCTCTCAACAATAACTGGTGAGTCTTATTGCTCTGGATTATATTTTATACCTACATCAATTAATTTATTCTGTGGTAAATATCGGTCTTTGTTAATCATTTTTATTGGAATGAATTATGATGACATTAAATTTTAACAATATTTATGGTGTATCTAGAGTTCAGTATGTAACTAATGCTAACTCTGTTTTCTAGGAGAGTCAAACTCCCTTACATGTCGCTAGTGGACGAGGACACGTGGAGTGTGTTCGGGGGCTGGTTGGTGCTGGGGCATGTGTGGACGCTCAGGACGGTCATGGTACCACCCCTCTTCATCATGCCTTGGCTCGCCACCACACACAGGCAGCGATGATACTCCTCCATGCTGGTGCCAACACAGATATAACAGATGATGTAAGTTCCTTTTCCCAGGCAATATATAAGTGGGACCATAAATTGCTTATTAGCATGTTGTATTTAGTGGCTTGATGATGTATCGCTTCAGTGTACAGCAACATGAACAACATTTAGGAATGAAATATATATATGATACATAACATAGTCTCCCCATCACTCTTAAAATGGTTAAATGAGTAAAAGGATGAGTCTGGGTACTTGAAAAAGTGGCTGTAACTCCTCTACACCCCAGGCTTTGTGCATAAGGCAAAATATAAATGAAGTTGATGTAAAATTCTCATGTTATTTCAAATAATTTTTTTTTTCATTAATGCACAATGTAAAATGTGGATAATAAGAAAAAATTGCCAAGCCATGGGGAAATGAACTCATATATAGTGTATTTGATCAATTCATAAATTAGAAGAACGAAAATTAATTATTGGTCTTGAATATGTACTGTAATTAGAAGCTGTGATGTGATAAGGAGCAGAGACCAGGTGAATGTGTTGATGAACAAGATGAATTATAAGAAAACAGGAGATTTGATTTTATACTGGTGAGAGTGGGGGTTGGGAAGTTCCTTCAGGCTGTACACCAACTTGAGTATTCTTGAGTGATAAGTTTTGTTTGAAGAGGAAAGTATTATTATTGTGTGAGAGGCTTTAAATAAAAAAAATAAAAATAATTATATGTTATGATCAAAGTTGAATGCTTATGGTAAATCATATGTATGTATAAGATGTATAAGTTTTAGTAAAGTTCACTTATAAAGAAAAATGATGTACAGGCCAAGTGGATACAGTACTGTATTCACCTTCTGGCCAATAGGTTGCTAGTTCTCTCTCTTGGGACTCCCCCAGTCGACCCTTGAGGATGAGTTTCCTTGCTAGTATCATACACACCCTGACTTTATGACATTTATTATAGCATATATTATTTCTATTTAAATTTTATTCCTCTGAAACTTTGGCTGAATTTTGTTACCCTACTATTATTTTATCTGCAGCAGCATGGTTTACCTATGATAACAACAATCTGCTCCCCTTTGAAAGATGGTCACCATCAATTGGCTGAAATAATTTAATTTGGACCTTTCAGATAGGGGAGGCTCCCATACATATTGTAGCAAGAGAAGGCTTGTTGGCTTTAGCTCAGACTCTATGTGCCTTTGGATGTAGTGTTGATGTCTCCAACAAGGCAGGTCTGTACCCCTTGCATCTAGCAGCCAAACATGGACATACAGAGCTAGTGAGGTGAGTCTGCTACCTATTACTGTAGTTCTTCTGTAATACACCTTACCCCTTGAGTGTGATGACTCCCCCCCCCCTCTGAGTACAATGACTAACCCCCCTTGAGTATGAGGAGTAATTCCCTGAGTGTGATGACTAATCCCCCTGAGTATGATGAGTAACCCCCTCAGTATGATAACTTCCCCCTGAGTACAATGACTAACCCCTCTGAGTACGATATCATCATGCTCAAGGAAATAGGTCATATTAATCAAAAGTTTTTACATTTTATTTTGAGTATTTTTTCTTTTTTTTTGAATCGCCTATACTGGGTCTAGATGCCAGTGTTTTAAGTTGCATAAATAACTTTCAGTTGGTAACCTAACCATTGACCTGTAGCTCCCACCAAGTCATTGATTCCTCACTGTTCTAAAAAGTTTGTTTTGTAATTGCGAGAATGTTAAACCCACTAACAAGATTTTTAACATGCCAACATTAAACCATTCATGAGGTTTTCAACATACTGTAGATACTTTTTTTTTTACTTTTATTGAAAAGATATCTTACCATTGACAAGTTTTAACATAAATTATTTTTTTTTTTTGAGACAAAATTAAACCATTGACAAGATTTTTAACATAGATGCTGTTTCTGTTTTTTATTACTGATAAAACAATAAATCATTCACAAGATCTCCAAGTTCAATGCCCCCTTTTTTTACTTTTATATCCCAGGTGCCTGTGTTTGGCTGGGTGCATGGTGGAACAGAAGAGCCGTGATGGGATCCTAGCTGAAGTGTCTGCCATGGCCCAGGGGTACGACGACATTGCTGATCTTCTGAACAAACTCAGAGGGGCAAGTATTAACACCATTTTAATGCTATGGATGAAACGAAGTAACAACTACAATCTCCCTCCCTGTGCAAAATTGTTATGTGTCATAGATAGAGAATGGGTTAGTTTAGATTGGGACTTTCATGCACTGTTATTGTGAAGGCAGAGTGATGACCTTGTAGTTAAATACTGTATATTAGTTTTTTATTTTTTTCATGGTTTTCCAATTGAAGTTTTCCAAAGCACAGGCTTTCCTTGATTCACAAAAGGGTTCAGTTGCCAAAAAATCGCTCGTAAATCGATTCACTGTTAATTTAGAGATGCCCGTACCCCCCTGTATTTTGTAGCTGTTCATCGTTATATCTGTGTGAAAGATTGCATAATAAATTTCACTGGAAGATAACATCATTAGGATTGCTTAAAAATAACATAATTAACACCACTTAAAGATTACATAATAAACATTGGTCATGAAAACTTCTTGTTGTCGTATTTAGTTAACTGTGCCGGCATCATATCCTTACACCCGCAGGAACAGCAGCGAGAGGAGTACATACAGCAACTCATCCCAAGCCTCTCGTCCATTCCCCGGATCAAGGTGAAGATCTTGGGTCACTCGGGATCAGGGAAGACCGCCCTCGTCGAGACCCTTAAGACCGGTTACTTCTCCTCCTTTTTCCGCAGGAGTAAAAGTAACACCTCTTCCACATCAATAGGGTCAGCAGGAAAGAGTAAGTACTGTACACTAGTTCCTTGGGTGTGTGCATTGATTACTTTAGACTTGTTAAATATGCTCTTATATGGCTTGTTTAATGGTAAGGTCACACTTGGTATTTGGTCATGTATTCCTTAATGAGACAGTACTATAATTTGGCTCTTGAAAAAATATTAATGCGAGGAAGAAGAACGACTGAAACAGCGAGAGCAATAATAGATGGGGAATGTTTGGTTACAGTGAGGGGCCTCCACAGCAAAATAGTCTTCATGCTGCCCCATCGTAACATCCTCTTGACTGGAATGACTAAAGTATCAATGGTATCTCTTACTCCCCACCAGGTCCCTCTGCTATGAAGGGTCACTTTGAAATGGAGTCGCCCCTAAGCTCTCGTCAGAACTCTCTTACCTTCGAACCCTGTGAGAATTACACTAAAGGCATCGATGTTCAACAGGTAAATTAGTTCTTCTTTGTGTAAATATAAATATAGATTCTTATATACATTATTGAAGATTTGTCAATCTTTGTTTATATATTACGTGAAAGAGAATACTTAGTTAGAAATATTTCCTAAATAACTTCTTTTGGGTTAAATTATGTTCATACTGTACATATTCATTTTGATTTATATCACATGTTTTAAGGCTTGTGGCTAAAAATTTTCAGCCATGGTAAAGTTTTTAATTTATGAAGTAGTAGAGTCATCCAGTTATACACCCACGTTGTGAATGGGCGTCATCCTCAGAAAAAGCTTTAACTCTTTTCCTCGTTTCTAAAGGTAAATATCTCCGGTGTGGGTGAACTGTCGCTGTGGGAGTTCTCAGGTCACGAGGCGTACTTCCCAGTGTACGACCACTTCATTGGCAATACATCTTGTGTTCACCTTATAGTATTCCCTCTCAACCAGCCATTTGATGTTCAGTTACAACAGTGTTCCTTCTGGATGTCCTTCCTCCAAGCTCGGATTCCTCCCATGGAACCTTTAAGTGAGTACAGTACCTCTGTGAGTCAAGTAGTCAATGTTGATGGAAGTTTTATCAAGTGAAAGAGATTATGGTTGATGTTGGGGTAAGATTCCTTGTAAGATGTTAATACCTTTTCTGGCATCACAAGTATGAATAAAGCAGGAAGATTGTCCCCCTCAGATGTTCGGGGAAAGCCAAGCAAACCGGCAAAAGTGACTCTAGTGGGAACTCATGCTGACGTGGCCCAGTGTCACCGTAACCTCCAGGGAGACTTCGTGGCCCCTCAAGTCCATCTTCTGCAGGTGAGTCAGAGGTGGCAAAAAAACAGTCCACAGGGTGATGGGTGGATGGTGTCTTTGTGTCTCAATTTGGTCTTACAATAACGGTATTCTCCAGGAGTCTTTAACCCGTGTATTGCATCACAGACTGATACATAAGATACTTTTTACTTTTTCATGGCATCACGTATATATTTCGGAGCTTCATATGGTGTGTCTGTCAGTGTGTTTTAGTGTTGTGCCTCACTAGCCATGCCCTGATTGTCTTATCTATTCCTCAGGAGAAGCTTCTGAATCTCTTTGGTGATGTATTTGAAGTGCACGATACAGTGTATGTGGTGGATGCCACGGCTCCGGGCTCTACTGCTGTCCGCGCCCTCAAACAGTACTTGGCAGACTGCAAGGCCAAAGTTACCCAGGTTAGTGGTGAGGACTTGTGCTGAATCAGGTGCAGGTGTGAGTGACTGGTGTTGAGGAAGGTGTGTCTGCTGTAGATAGAAATAAGGGAGGTGTGGCTGGTGTGTCTGCTGTAGGTAGAAATAAGGGAGGTGTGGCTGGTGTGTCTGCTGTAGAAATAAGGGGGTTTGGCTGGTGTGTCTGCTGTAGAAATAAGGGAGGTGTGGCTGGTGTGTCTGCTGTAGAAATAAGGGGGTTTGGCTGGTGTGTCTGCTGTAGAAATAAGGGGGTGTGGCTGGTGTGTCTGCTGTAGAAATAAGGGAGGTTTGACTGGTGTGTCTGCTGTAAAAATAAGGGGGTGTGTGTCTGCTGTAGAGAAATAAGGGAGGTGTGGCTGGTGTGTCTGCTGTAGAAATAAGGGGGTTTGACTGGTGTGTCTGCTATAGAAATAAGGGGGTGTGTCTGCTGTAGAAATAAGGGAGGTTTGACTGGTGTGTCTGCTGTAGAAATAAGGGAGGTTTGGCTGGTGTGTCTGATTGAAGAAATAAGGGAGGTTTGGCTGGTGTGTCTGCTGTAGAAGTAAGGGAGGTTTGACTGGTGTGTCTGCTGTAGAAATAAGGGAGGTTTTGCTGGTGTGTCTGATTGTAGAAATAAGGAGGTTTGACTGTGTGCTGTAGAAATAGGGTTGGTTGTGTGAAATAAGGGAGGTTGACTGGTGTGTCTGTGAAATAGGGAGGTTGACTGGTGTGTCTCTGTAGAAATAAGGGGTTTGGCTGGTGTGTCTGCTGTAGAAATAAGGAGGTTTGACTGGTGTGTCTGCTGCAGAAATAAGGGAGGTTTGACTGGTGTGTCTGCTAGAAATAGGTTGGTGTGTCTGCTGTAGAAATAAGGAGGTTTGACTGGTGTGTCTGCTGTAGAAATAAGGGAGGTTTGACTGGTGTGTCTGCTGTAGAAATAAGTGAGGTTTGACTGGTGTGTCTGCTAGAAAAGGAGGTTTGTGGTGTGTCTGTGAGAAATAAGGAGGTTGCTGGTTTGAGAATAGTATGTGTTCGTAGAAGTAAGGGAGGTTTGACTGGTGTGTCTGTTGTAGAAATAAGGAGGTTTGACTGGTGTGTCTGCTGCAGAAATAAGGAGGTTTGGCTGGTGTGTCTGCTGTAGAAATAAGGAGGTTTTGTAAAATAAGGAGTTTGTGTGTTGCAGAAAGGTGTGTTGTAGAAATAGAGGTTTGACTGGTTCTGTAGAAATAGGAGGTTGTGGGCTGTTGAGAAATAGGAGGTTTGCTGGTGTGCTCTGAGAAGGAGGTTTGACTGGTGTGTCTGCTGTAGAAATAAGGGAGGTTTTGCTGGTGTGTCTGATTGTAGAAATAACTAATCAAAAGATTTTCTTAACTAGGGAAGTGAGATGTCTGTAAGTAAGGTACTAGTTGTTCATATGTTTTAATTTATAGGTGTTATAACTTATTAAAAATTCCCTTGTGATACCTATGCATTTACACATTAAAGCCTAATATAGTCACTGAGATTAAAGCATTAACATGGTAGCAAAGAACTGTACAGTACACATATAATTAATTTTTTTTTTGGCTGAATAATCACTAGAAATAATTCATATAATACAGAACAGGACAGTGTGATAACAAGCCCATTTAACTGCTTCTTAACATTAGGGAAGGTTGTAAGTTGTGCTTTGGTGGAGTTGAAAAAAAGGACGAGAAATTTTTCACCATAATGCAGGAGCCTGATTTTGTGTCCTTATGTCAAGCTTTTCACTGATGGATTTAATTGATATTATTGTAGACCATTTAGGAGTCCTGTGTCCTCTAGACTCTCAATCAGGATTTTTTTGTTATAATTTGGTATACTGTACTGTGTATCTGAAATATATCCAGCATAACATAATTTGAGAATAATGATTTACACTTTACTGTACTGTATATTATGAACAATGAACAATAAATTAGTACAGTTTATACATGATGTAATTGACAAGTTCAGGTTTGGAGCAACAAATTCCATATATAAATGTCTTTCTCTCTTTTTTCCCATCTCTCTCTATCTTTATCACTGTCTCTCTCTCTCTCTTTGTATCTAATGTGTTTGTTTAATTTATCTCATGCTCTACCCCAGACTAGTTTAGGAAGAAAACCCTTAATGCCACAATTACCATATATAAGAGTATCTGAACAGTCACGTATATATAAACAAACCCCCCCTTTCTCTCTTCTCCTCCCTCTCCTCTAGGTCGTCCAGATCACCGACACACCTCACTGAAATGCACCTTTATTCTTGCCATACCAAATTGCTTCTATCCCCAACCTACTTCACTTGCCCAGATTGTACAGGCAATTTCCGAATGTTTTTTCATGATTGGAACCCTTTTGTAAATTGAGGGATGATTTTTATAAGCATGTTTGAACCACCTTCCCCCCTCTCTCTCTCTCTCTCTCTCTCTCTCTCCATTGGTTCATTTCATTCCTATTTTATAACTTATTCCAGTCTGCTAACTTACCATGATGCATTTTGTATATAATCTTGAAAGTGCTTTTTTCTACATCATCCTTTCCACTGTTGATAGTGACTGATACACCCTTGTTGCTCCTCCACACAGTGATTGTTAGGACCCCACAGGTATAGTCTCCTGCACTTATACCTGGTACAGTGGCTTGTGCATTTTGTGAGATGTGGCAATGCTGTGGAATGATTATCTAGCATCCTTAGTCTGGCTAATATTGTGAGGTTCCTTTGGGCCATTCTGGAAGTTTTAATATGATGTACATAAGCTCAGTTGCCACATCTAAAAAAAGCGCCAACTGCTGTATTGTACCAGGTAATAGTGCAGGTGATTATATTAGGTACTAAAACATAATACAAATTCAACTTGTGGATTATTTTTTATCCTGATTGAGTGAGTGGACACTGCGAGATATAAATAGTAATGTAGCTGCTTCAGTTGAATAGAGAGGCCAAAGGTTCGACAAAAGCTCTATGAATATTTTGTTGAGACTTTTAAATCATTATTATCTTGCTGTTACTCTTGATAATGCATAGATGTTGCTGCTGGTCATATACACATTGTACACTTTAATATCTCTTGTGCTTAATAACCGCTCATTTCCACTAAGTTATACTAACCATAACCAGTCAGACAGTGAATTCTTTATCTTATCAATTCTATATGAAGTTATTGTGGTTTGTATATATGACAGGATACTTAAAAATAATGTAATTATATAAAAAAGATTAATTTGAAGTAGACAATGGTGTGATTAATTTTTTCAATAAATTTTGTTGTTGTGTTCCATTCCCCATCTCTTTATCTATACAGTACATGCTTTATAATAGCATGATCAGTATCATTATGTAAGGATTATTTAACCCTCCCCAATTGGCAATTACCTGAATTGCATGTTATAGTTGTTTCTACATAATTGTTATTTGGTTCAATCTTTCCTAAATTTTTTCAGGTTGTGATTGTTGCATACATGTCTGAAATTATACTTTGCATGTGATCATGGAGCTGTAATTTGCCATCTGACATTAAGATTGGGAAGGCATAGAGACCTTTTGCTTATACTGTTGTAAGGTGACATGGGGTGTGGCTCAGAGACCCAACACTGTTACACAATACTTAGATAAAGAGTGTTTGATAATGCTGATACATGACATACTACTTTACTTATTGGTGATAAGTCTGAATTTACTGGAAGTTTTCATTCCATTTTTGTCATTATTGTCCATGACATTGGGGATATGAGGATTTTACCTGATTGACTAGCATGTCCACAGTAGAGCAGTTAAATGATGTAGTATATAGCATGAGTTGAAATAAGAACTGCTCATGTATTTCACGTTGTGTCAAATAATATTAAAAGTTTTCCTACTAATACTAACGCAGCTGCACATTACCACAGTTTTTGGAAAGGGTTGTTTAAGTCATTAGCAAGTCATCATAATAAACTTATTTTTCTCTCCTTGATAACACTTGACTCACTGGAAGAGTGACCCCTCAATAACATACTGATATATCTGGTGTGTGGTAAGTTGCATTGGCTCGGCCTGGCACGTGTAGACTTCCTATTCATATAACCTAGAATTGTGCCGCTGTGTCAAGCTGGAGTAGAGTTTATTTCCACACGTTTCTCAAGGGGGAAAAATCAACCCGAAATCCTGTGCAGTTGACAGATCCAGATTGTCACTTAAGGTTTAGTTTTTGTATATCCTTGCGTCATCCCAGGGATTTCGGCGACACATTTTTTCCCGTATATGTGAATGGAAAATGAACTCTACTGCATGAGCGCAGGCCGCAGGGCTGGAGCGGAGCCAGTGTGGCGTATGCTGTTGGGGCGGCTGTTAGCGGTGATGGATATACGATCCTGCAACCTGACGCGTGTGAGGTGATGATTGCCACACTCTTTCTGTCCCCTCTCTCTCATTCTCTCTCTGTATATATAAATATTATCTCCCATAGCCTGCCACTATCACCACACTATCTTGTCTTTTACATGTGTTCACATGCATATCCGGGGCTTATGAGGGAAAATGTTGGCCGTTAATGGAGATGGAGAAGGTGGTGATATAACTTTGGGAATCTTTTTGTATTTTTTTCAGAACATTATATTTGGGGCATAGTTCTGTTTGATCCATTTTAATTTGTTGAAGACAAGTACATTATTGTCTTTGTTGTTTTTAAACAGAAGAAAATGAGTCTCATCATTTATTCTCTTTACACCATAAACAGATTTTCTCTCACAGATGGACTAAGTGACTAAATATCTCTGTGTGCTGGATAACATTTCCATCTTCCCCATCTCCACGTACCAATGCTTACACTTTTATTTGCACCAACACAAATAGAAGCTCCTTGTGGAACACCTGGGTTACTTTACAAGGCCATACTTTATTTGTTCACTTCAAAATAAGAACTACTTCACAATATAGCAACACTTGTAGTTGTATTACCATCAGGTGTTTCATATTTACTTTACCAAATTCAGTCATGCTACATAAATATTTAGTGTTCAGGATGGATTGTTGATGCACCAGTATAATTCACAATACCTCTGTCTACTGTTGTTCCCTACTCTTAGAAATCCAAAGTTCTAATGGAGCTCCCCACTTGTGTAGGTTAGTGTTAGAGATTGGCAACTTGCAACTCTATTAGCAATAGAGATGTTTCAATGGGCAAACTTTGAGCTAGAGGTGGGGTTGCTAATCTGTTTTATGCACCAAGCACAGTCTTTGTTTCCCTGGCTCTGTTAGATCACTGGCTTCTTTGTTGTGTGGTGGCTTGTTGTGGTTGAGGTGGCTTACTATCAACCTCCAGTGGCTTGAGCAGCTTTAGTAGTGGTCATTTGTTTTGAGGAGCAGTACTAAGTGTCGGCCCTCGTACCCAAGAGTTAAGTTTTAGCCATTTTTCCAGGAAAGAAAACAAGTGATTGATAGAAATCTTGAATACAATGTCACAATCAGTTGCAATAAATTGGTTGCATCCTGTCAGGAACTGAAACGAAGAATAGATAGATCTCTATGCCTATCTGAACTGTAGATATTTTGAATTTAATCTGCATTTTAATTCTCAACAATTGTAATGATAATGTAGTAGAACTTAAAACCCCCATTATTCATGACAGTCTGTGTATAGTGTTGTTATCAGTCTTATTGTGGTGTGATAATGTTCATGTCATCTATCTCCCTGCCATGAATATTAGGGGGCTGTTGGTTACGCTGAAGTACCTGTAGTCATTGGACGAATCCTTAACATGAATTGTGTAAGGATGGATGTGTGATGAAAGTGGCTTGTGTTGTGTAGATGGGCAGTCTAGGTTCTACTATATTATGTCTTCACTGTGACCACCATATAAGACATCCCTCTAAGACCCCCATTGTGTCCTCTATAATCAGATATGGTTTTTGCAACTTTTTGTAATGTCTGTTCTCGAAGTTGTCCTTTGCACTTTATGACATTTGTTTGCTATTTTGATGTTTATTTATTTATGTTAATTTTGTTGTTCTTGATGTTATTGAGAGCACCCTCAGATAGCTGTACCTTAATGCCTATGTAAGCATCTAAAATTTTTTTTAAATATTTTGACTTTAATTTGTAATGTTGATGTGAGGAGTTGCATCTGGTCTTTTGATTGTCTTTTCTGTATACAATTCATTTGCATCCCTTGATTTTTGTTATGTGTAGTTTGGATTAAGTAATCTAATGAACATTTTTATTTATTTAATCAGGTTATGCAAAGCAATAATTGAAGACAAAACTACCACTGTGTTCTAAATTTATATGATGATTAAAAGTTCTGTATATTAAACATTCACTGTCTATATTTATCTGTTTATCTATTATCTCTAGCCATCATCTGGTATATGACAGTTGGGCTCACACAACACCCCACTCATAACCTGATCACAACACATCATTTACACAGTCCTGCCTCACATCAACTGTGTCCCTCAAAATGAAGCAAAGTGAGGGTAAAATGGACGACACACAACACACAGTTACGAACTCACTTGTAGTATATTATTATATTTTGACCATACTTATACATACTTATACACATGTTCTTTCAATAAACTGTTAATTATTATTAACTATTATTATTACAAAAAGCACACAGCCCATACACACATACCTGGTATTGTGCATTGATCTGTCTCACCATTCTTAGGTTCTTTTGCTATTTACTTGAAAAAGAATTTACAAACTGAACACCTTGGGTAGTTTTATCTTTATGAAGGGAAGTAGAATGCATCACTCTGTACCAATGATAAAACTTACTGTACCACGTTATATGGGAGGTGGCGTCGTGTTCATTTCATCCTTATGGCGATGAATGAACCGAGGCATCCGTATTCTGTTGTAATAGTACGCTGACTAAGCCACGTGAAATGTGTAAACGCTAATTCAATAGTGTGTCTCAAGCATTCTGTGTAGTGCTTTTGTGTTTATCGAGTTACAGGTACTGAGTCACACCAGTACTCTTGATATAGTACTGTATTCTATCTCACAATTTATGATTCTCTTGTTAAGTACAGAGATTGGTTTAAGTATTGTATGGGATATTTTATAATTGTATAGAGTGATGGAGATATTTTTAAATTGCTGAAGAATGAACTGATGCTTTGTGTTGACTTTCTACTTTGTTTTATCTTTTCAATCACTCTAACGGTATATTTTTATTTTGACGATGATCTCAGTGACCGTTGTGTTTTATTCCTCAATGGTATGCAAGATGTTGATGTTTGCATGTTGGTATTATCTACTGTACTAGTCGTCCGGTCTTGCTTGTCTCAGTGTTTGTCTCCCAGTAACAGCAGCAAATGAGCCATAAAGATTTTCTTGTGTCTTATGCATTTTAAACCTAACTTTTCAGATTTTTCAGCAACTCTTAGACATTTTTTTATTTAATTTTGTATTCTGTGATTTTTAGATAGGCCTTCTTGAACCAGTATTGTAGTTACTTGTTTGTGTTTGACAGATATATTAACTCTAGGTAGATAAGATATAGGTAGATTATGTTGTTAAAGTTATTTCATCACTTTATTCTACCAGTTAATCTTGAAACAGGTAAACTTATGAGAGTTTTGATACCATTGTTTATTATGAGGATAGATACCTAAACTAAAAATTTTGAATCCTAAATTATCGATGATCCCATAATTCATGAACATAAAGGAGATGGCGTGTTATATAGTGTGGCTCCTATCATGCAGTTTATGGAGGAGATAGTGAGTAATGACCGGAAAGAGTCAACTAGCATGATGGTACAAATATTAAAATTGATTGTTGGTACCATATATAATCTGCCTACCGTATATACTCGTCTATAACCCCCCCTTGTTTATAGGTCGACCCTGATTTTTTGACCAAGAAATCGTTAATTTACAATATGCCTCGTTTATAGTTCGACCCACGTTTTTGAGGGTAATGGAACAACAAAACCTTCACTAAAAACGCTCTACGTCCTATAAACTGAGGCTCGCCGTGCATGAAACACGAGTGCCGAAGGCAAATTGTTTACCATTTATTATTAGGACACTTTACACTGAAACGCGGGTAGTTTCAACAAAAATATTGTATATTTCCATTCAAGTATTTATTCAAGTCAATTAGGAGGGAATATTATTGTAATACAACAGTTTTTTAACTAAACCATTCGAAAAGCGATTACGGTAACATCTTTTGAACGAAAGAAAGCGAAAGTCATTGTTTTCGTCACGATTTTATCCCACTTTCCACTGTAATACGTACGTAATTTCAGCAAAAATATTACATTTCCGTGAATGTATTATATCAAGCACAGTATGAATAGAATATCATTGTAATATAACAGAATTTTAACCGAAAACTATTAAAAAAACGAGTAACATCTCAAGAACAGAAGCTTAGGTAAAGTCTTTTGTTTTCGTCATGTATTTTATCCTATTTTACATTGAAATACATCACGTTTCAGCAAAACTACTATTTATTTCCGAGAATATATTCATTTAGGCGCAGTTTAGGTAAAATATACGTGTGATGTAATAGTTTTTTAACTGAAAACGATTCGAAAAACACGTACCCTCTAGCCCTGTTCAAGGAGAGGACTGGGAGAAGCTGTTTGGTGCTGCAGACGATGACAAGGAAAATTATTTTGATGGATTTTAATGAAAATATTCAGAAATATGGTATCGTAGTATTTATTCAAGTCAATTAGGATAGAATATTATCGTAATACAACGGTTTTTTAACTGAAAAGCATTCGAAAAGCAATTACGGTAACATCTTTTGAACGAAAGAAAGCGAAAGTCATTGTTTTCGTCACGATTTCATCCCACTTTCCACTGTAATACGTACGTCATTTCAGCAAAAATATTACATTTCCGTGAATGCATTATATCAAGCACAGTATGAATAGAGTACCATTGTAATATAACAATATTTTAACCAAAAACTACTAAAAAACGAGTAACTTCTCTTGAACATCGGAAGGTTAGGTAAAATCTTTTGTTTTCGTCATGTATTTTATCCTATTTTACATTAAAATACCGGTACATCTTGTTTCAGCAAAACTACTATTTATTTCGGAGAATATATTCATTCAGGCACAGTTAAGGTAAAATATACAGGTGATGTAACAGTTTTTTAACTGAAAACGATTCGAAAAACATGTGTACCGTCTAGCTGATACAGCTGGTGGTGCGTGATGCGTCGTGCGTCGTTGTAAACAATAGGAAGTTGAAGTAGATTACCGGGTATTATATTAAGTGTGAAATATCGAAAAGGTTTTTAATACCGGTATTTTTTGTAGATCAATGAGAACTGTGATACCGTATATGATATGATAAGTTAGCCTGTGCTAAGAACTTCAACATAGACTACTGAAAGCACGTTGTAAGGTAATTTAGCCTATTGTAAGTTGGTGAGCTTCATTTACTGAAGGAACTGCACAACTTTTCATTACTAATTGGTACATATTTTATGTTTCCATTGTTTACTGACAGTAAATGGTAAATATTTTTCATGTCTGAAGCTAAAATTTGCTCCTCGCCCTTCCCATCATGCACGGGTTCAACCTAACAAAACTATTACGCATGTATAGGACGACCCCCAATTTTTTGCCTAAAAATTTGGTCTTAAAAACTCGAACTATACACGAGTATATACGGTAATTATATCCACCATCAAAGGTACTGTACCACATAATCTGGGTTTTTTTTTTTTACACTATTCTGGTTAGTTTCCACACACACACACCCACACACACACCTCTGTTCATGTTGTCCCATGGATCAAAACTCTCATGAAGTATACGTGATGATTGTTGACCTCTATCTTAGTGCACTTCAGAAAATAATTGATTTTTTTTTCTATTTCTCCACCACTGAAAATCAATGTTTGTTGAGGAAATTGGTCCAATTTTTCATAAGAGAGGCTTACAGTGCCTGAGTTTTAGGTTTATTAATATAGTATAGCCATTAGGTTTACATTGGTTTAGATCAGCGGTTCCCATCCTCAGGTCGCGACCCAAATCAGGGTCGTGGGGTGTCCTCAGTAGGGTCGTGGGGTGTCCTCAGTAGGGTCGCGAGGGGCCTTCAGACAATTTAAAAAATATAATACTTATCATAGTCAAACAAATTTTTGCTTAACATTCAAGCTATATAATATATTATATGCCTGAGGGTCACGACACCCTATTGTTGGGAAATTTATGGTCGCAGACAAAAAAGGTTGGGAGCCACTGGTTTAGATGATAGTGATTTGTATTATTTTAAACACCAAAGCTTTATTTTCTTCTTGTTTAGGATGTCAAGCTGTGTGTAAATATATGGAAGGTAGTTAGTGTTTTATTCTTTGAAAGTTATATAACGTAAACAAGCTTAAGATTAAATCACAGAAAGTTGTTTTTTCCTTTAAATACTTTTATTCATGCCTCAGTAACTGTGTAATTTAGTTTATTCAAAGTTGTTGTTATTGTTATTAGTATATTTATAACTTTAAATTAAGACATTATTAAAAAGTAGAAATATTACAGTTGTAGGTCAGTTCATATTCCTTTCATTTGTTTTTGTTTTTAGATTAATCTTTGATATAAGCTAAGAACTCTTTTGTTACTTTTCTCATATTCACTGTGCAGGGAGTACCACGGGTGACAGGCTTCCTGGGTGCAGTGGTCAGCACCTTGGCTGAGTGGCGAGCATCACTGGGGGAGTTCCCTGTGGTGTCGTGGCCCCAGTTTGTTGATGTCACTCACCAGCGGGTCAACCCCCTTGCTGGTGAAGAACATTTGCGAGAGGTTTGTGAGAGTGAAGTGTTTTGGGGGGGGGTCTGTCTTGTGCCATCTGGCCTTTGTTGTTGGGGGTTATGATGTTCTGTAGTCAAAGCTTTATCTGAGAAGCTCTGGGTGAGAATAAGACGTGGTACAGTATAAAGTGGCTTCAGATGTGTTTATCATGCCATTGTAATCTTCAAACTTCTTACTTATTGAATAGATAGATATTAAATCCACTACTGGGAAAACCAAGAAATATCCCTAATAAGTGTCATGTTAAGTGTGTAGTCCTGATCCTCTTTATTTGTATTGTGTTAGATTTCAGGACTTCATGCTTTCCAGTGAAAAAAAAAAATAAAGAACTCTGAATATGAAATTAATGAACTTTAATGGTTCAGAGGAGAGAATCACCTTTTTCAATACAACACACAGATTTTTGTCAGTACAGTATATGTTTTCTGATACTCCCAGGTGGTCCAGCAGCTACAACTAATGGGTGAAGTAGTGTATTTGAAGGCGGAGGCACAGGACCTGGTTGTGCTCGACCCTGCATGGCTCACCCATCAACAGTTGGGGCACCTCCTCTCTACACAGTATGCTGCCCAGGCTAGGGTCACTGGTAAGTACATTAGATACCATTGATTATTTTCTCTGTAAGGAAAGAAACCATTTTAATTTGGTGCTTCAGCTAAAATATTGTTGGAATCTTATTGTAGAGAAATATAGAATACCTTACGTTCCATCATTATAGTCATATTACCTAAAGAAGACTTACCAGTACACAGGTCTCAGATATACTATTAAACTTATCTTGAAGCAACTTTGCTAAATTTTCTTTTAGTGGGTACTTATGAAAGATTGTATGTTTTTGTTATTAGTCTGGTTAGTACTTGGATGAATGACTGCCTGGCCCTAAGAACACCAGATGCTGCTGGCATAAATACTCTACTGGAAACAGCCTATCATGGCTTTATCAGTTGTCCTTGGTCAAATTGACTGAATATCAATAATAGTAATGGTAATTCTTATTCTTATTATTAAAACTGTATACTGTATTATTATTATTATTATTATTGTATTATTCTTATTATTAAAATATATATGGTTTCTTTTACCAGGCTGCTACACTGTTGATGACTTCCAAATGAGCTTCCCTGAGTGTGATGCCTTGGACCTATTACAGGTTTTAGAGGCTTTACACCTCTGCACTCAAGTAAGTATGGTGAAGTTAGTGCTTTTATGGGAACTACTTAAATAATATGAGGTTAAATACCCTAGGTTTTAAATCACCTTCATATAAATTTTTTCTGTAGTGTAGAATAACTTCACTGTTTAAAACATTACTTTTCACTTTCCGTAAAAAAGCCAAATTGTTGGAAAATAGATGCCTGTGTTTCTGCATATTAGGTCAGAATGTAGATTTTGTTCAAATTTCATACAAAGGTTTTCAGAATTTTATAATGTGTTTATGGTAATTATTTCAATGATTCTTAATTAATACTAATTACAGTACCGTATTTTTTTTTTTTTTAAGCCAGATCCTTAACCAGCAGGTGATTGAGCACTTTTGTACAAAATTTCAAGAAATCTATGTACTGTACAGTACTGGCCACCATTTTTCTGGAAAGTGAAAGCTAACATGTTTAAATCTAATACCTATGTCAGAGAAATGTTTTGTGAAAAAACATTCAAGTAACGGTTTCTTAAATTCATTATATAAAGTTATATTTTCTTGAAACTATTAAAAAACCCACATTACAATGCAGTAGTTAATTATTTCAAATTTTCCAGTGTGACAATGATGGAGAAATTGAATATGAATTTCCTTGCTTCAATCAAGTTGAAACCCTGGATGGACTGTGGGAGAAGGTTGATCCACGATACACAGACGGTGTATATGGTGGTGTGAGGCTACGCTCCCCTGCACCAACACAGTATATTCTGCCACCAATTTACGTCCGTTTGCAGGTTTGTATATACGGTAGTACTCTACTTATACTTTAATATTTGATTAAGGTGATGTTTGTTTATTAAATTCTTACCACTTGTGGGCAGTAAAGAATACTGTACAGTAATTAATCATCTGTTCATTCCTCACATTATAATTCTGACTGTTTTCTGTGTAATCAGTTTCTCCATTCACATAAGCCATAGTAACTCTTTGCCATACGGCCATTCTTTGATGCCATACCATTCTTTCCCAGCCTGTGATTGGTTGAGAGTTCTCCTGCTGTTTTCTTAGCAGCCAATCATCAGAGAGTCACTTAAGTTTAAAACTGGGAACTCCTCACAAGAATCCAAAGAATTCAATAACCATTTTGGTATTGTGTATTACAGGTTAGCTTGCTGTAAATAAAAATATTTCAGTCAGTTGTTTCAAACTGATTTTAAACAGAAAAAAAATTCTTTGAAAGGAGAGATTTTTTTTTTATTGATTTTAATTATGAAACTAAGACCCATGCACATTAATTCCCTCCCTCCAACTCAACCCCTCCCACATCCTTCTGTCGGCCCCTTTCACCGGGACATTTACTGTTGCCCAGTTTTACTGTTAAGTTCTGTGAAATTCTTTACTTTTTCTGACAGAGAGAAAAAAAATATTAATATTGATTGGAGAAAGTTGAATTTTTCAGTTACTTTGGAGTGGAATGAATGATGAGTAATGAATTGCACCACAAAGTAATAGAAGGAAAGAATGTTTGAGATAAAGAGAGAGAGAGAGAGAGCAGAGCATGTCTTAAAACTTTCTCAATTACGGTGACGGATGGACTTATCTAAATCACGTTTCGATATCTTCGCCGCATCTAAAGGTTCAGCTTCGGAGGTCTTGGCAAGAATACCCAGAGAGGGACACGGACTTATACCAATGGTGCAGCGGCTCCAAGTTCTGCTCGGGCCCCCTGGAAGCTCTACTTACTCTTGAGGAGGGAGGGGAGGCCATTGAGCTCAAGGTTCGAGGACCGCCAGAATCGGGACCTGTTGCATTTTTCTTCATGGAGGATCTGTTAGCTATGATTGACCAGGTAATTATAGAAGACCGGGTAAAGTATTAGTTATAGAAGACCAGGTAAAGCATCAGTTATAGAAGACCAGGTAAAGTATCATTTATAGACCAGGTAAAGTATCAGTTATAGACCAGGTAAAGTATCAGTTATAGACCGGGTAAAGTATTAGTTATAGAAGACCAGGTAAAGTATCAGTTATAGAAGACCAGGTAAAGTATCATTTATAGACCAGGTAAAGTATCAGTTATAGACCAGGTAAAGTATCAGTTATAGACCAGGTAAAGTATTAGTTATAGAAGACCAGGTAAAGTATCAGTTGTAGAAGACCAGGTAAAGTATCAGTTGTAGAAGACCAGGTAAAGTATCAGTTATAGAAGACCAGGTAAAGTATCAGTTATAGAAGACCAGGTAAATTATCAATTATAGACCAGGTAAAGTATCAGTTATAGAAGACCAGGTAAATTATCAATTATAGACCAGGTAAAGTATTAATTATAAATATTTACATTTGTTTTACCGGCTACTTAATAGATGCTTTTAACTATGATTGGTTAATTATTGGCCAATGAGATTTAGGGATGATATACTGTAACTCTACATCTCCAAACACCTCTTCAGTTAGGACTCACGCACATTCTCCTTAATGACCTTTGATCTATCCTCCTCATATTCAGTTCATCTCATCTCCAGTTTCTACAGTCACCGAATTCACTCCTGCACATTTTTGTAGTACTGTACTGTATTGTAATTCCATTTCCCTCCCCTCCCCCCCTTTTTTTTTATCCTCATTTCTTCCTTACACCCGAAATCATTCTTATTAAATTCTCATTCAACACTTCAGTATAGTATTTGTCCAAGTTGTCTCTTCATTAAGGATTTATTTTATTTTATCTCTCAGTATCTCAAAAGACATTATTGTAGTTGGTAAGTGTTTGGTGTCATTTTTTTTTCTCGTTATGGTGATAATGAATCACGGGAACGAGTCTGTGAACTTATTTACCCTGACTTGTTTAGTGGGGGTGTGCTGTTTTATCTCATTTGGGGTCAATACTGCTTCATTTTGGGAGGGAGAAAATGTTTGACCCGGGGCATATTTCTCGTTTTATTTTTCTATTGTAATATTCATTTAGCATTGGAAGGATCTTGTTGTGATATTTCCCACTCATGGCAAAAAGTCCTAGGTTCTGTTTCCTTTAGTACAGTATTACCAATGTTGAGTTGTGTTGAAGTAATTTACAAGATATGTAATGTGTAATCACCTTTTTTTTTTAATGTACAGTATGTTACATGTTGCTATTTGCCTTTAGACTGGGTGATCAGAAATTCCCTGTGTACCTTCAATAATTAATGGTGTAATCATTTACCCAGTTCTACATCTAACAGTGCCGGTACAGTACTGTATAACATGGAAAAACTACAATTACAGGGTATATTGTTTATTATTTCAGGTGCACAGGGACTTTTCAATCACCCTGTATGTGGATTCATAGTTTCAGTGTGATACCAATAATAATAATACCTTTCCATTATGCTTAGGTGCTTGTGGAGATGTGTCCAGGTCTTGTGCTAGAGAAACATGTCCTGAGTGCTGATCAACTCACTTCCCACTCGTCTACTGTGTATGCCTGGCCCCCGGCGGACATCTACACATCCTTGCTTGGCGGTGGTGTGCGGGCATCTCTTCATAACCCATTAACAGAGAAAGATGAAACATTCTCCCAGTTAGTGTGTTTTGGATCACAGGATGTAAGTGTTGGTTACATTAAAATTGAATACATAAAGATACATAAGACCATATAAAGATATTTTATGTAATCGGGAACTTTCATAAAATATTTTTCAAGTAGAGTATAACTTTACCTGATTAATTAATTATTTTACCTTTTTCACTTCTTGTCCCTAATTGACAAGGCATAATAATATGATAAAGAATATATAACATTATGAATGTTTTAGCAATTTAGATCATTTGTAAAAAAAAAAAAAATGATCTGTTGAAAAAAAAAAGTTGTATACTGTGCTGTATATAAATTGAATAAATGATCTTTTAGATTACCATGTATGGATGTTGCCAGGTTGTGTCCAGTTTAGTGGTTGGTGGTGAGGTGCACATCTCCAGCCTCTGTACAGTGACTGTCCAGCGTCTAGCAGCTCTCATGGATCCACCACACCTTCGTGGCTCAGACTGGTGAGGACTTTACTACCTCTTTTATTCTAAGGGTCATTAATGAGTGACCTGTAAAATACTCATCCATTACTCACGGTGAGTTCCTTCTTCATCCATCACAGGTCCAGTGTTGGTACAAGAGGAACTGAACCACCTAGAGTAGATTGTTCATATTATTAAGCCCTTCACTACAGGGATACTACTTTTAATATTTTATTGGGTTAACAGCAAACAATTTTATTCAGTTCAGAGGTGAACCCATACACAAGAATTGTACATGTTAAAAATCAACTGGAAATTTTTGAATTTATAACTGGTTTTCATGATTTTTAATTTTCTAAATTTTGAAAGGGTATATGTTATTTGTTTATGTTTTTTATGTGTTAGTTTTTATATTTCTTGGTGCAAGTCCCTCACCTCTTAGAACTTAAAACTTAAGCCTGGTAGGTCAACTATGAATAAGACATATGGATTTACATGTTAGTTAGGTCTTAAAGTATACCAGTTGTTCTGAAGATGCTGTTTTGTCTAAATGATTGCAACTCACAGTGTATTTTTACTTTTTTGACATACTCTGGGAATCAAAATGAAATGATAGAGGAGACAGAGAAAAGGTACACAGACACAGGATATTTGTGGTGTTTGCGGTGTGAGGTGAGGATTGGAGCACAGTTACAGTGGTTGAGGTGGACCAGATGTGCAGCAACCAATCGTGGTGTGCTATATTTTACACCTATAATGTGTAACTCGTATGTTTGTATGTGTGTGTGTGTGTGTGCACGCTCGCTGGCATCAGTCACATTGAGAATTTGGTTTCCCTTAGGTGTGTTCTGGCAGTCAAATTGGGACTACAACATCTATTGCCCTCACTGGACACGCAAGGTGGCTCCTCCCAACACTCCCCAACTGCCACTCTCTTGCACTCTTGGGGTCAGGCTCCCACAGCCACACTCGGTAAGTTAAATACTACCATCTGTAAGGAGCTTGAAAGTTAGGAGTGACTGTGTGATTATTCTTGTAAACTTCATCCACTCTCCCTCCCTCTGTTTCTTAACCCAAGTCAAGGTCCTCTCTTTTGTTACTTCTGTGGGTGAGCTGAGATAGTATCATAATATTTTAACCATTAGTCTCCTCTCTCTATTTAGTAATAATGGTTTCTTTTGTAAGAACTTTTTTATTTTCTTAACCTTCAACAACAGCCATCATCAGTGTAAGTTATGTTAGCTGTGAGGATGCAAATTATGCTATGCCTGTAAGTTTCAAATGACTTTTTATCGATATATAGACTGAATTATCCATTTAAATATGTTACCTATCACTTCCCAGGGGAAAAAAATATTTTTGACCCAAAACACAACTGTCATATTATCCTGCATATACAGTGAAGTGTTTGGTGTGTGGAGATAGTTCAGTGTTTTTTGTTAATTTTGACACATTTTTATTATTAATAATCAGTACAGTATATGCCACATGATCTTTCTTAAAGGTGTGCAAAATAAAGAGGTTCTACTGTAACATTAGTTTTAAGAGTTTAAATGTATTTAGGGTAACATATACTAATGACTTGGGAGGCCGGAACTTAACTGTACTTTCATTTTAATCCTGGATATTTACAATGTGTGGGATCTTTAGGAATCTGTTGGGAATGAGATATGTATTGAGTATATATAAACTATTACTAAATGTAAACAAATTGAACAGGTGCTCTAGTAAATGAACTCCGTGGAATGGAACGCGAGGATGCGGCAATAGCTGTGATGTGTGGTGCTCCGCTGTACCAACTCGCGCCCCCGGACGACGACACAACATCAGACTCTCCGCCAATATCTTCCACCTCGGCCACGTCCACTTCTAACCTTTCCAGATGAGCTACAGCACCACAGGAACCCCACCAGACCTCAACACCATCTACATAGAAATACCATCTACCATTGCAATAATATTCTTATGGCTAGTCTCTATTCCGCAGATAGGATAATTAAGACATGTTACGTCACTTTTTGATAATACCCTGTTTTCCACTTCTCGAATACAAAGACTACCTGACATGAAGAACCATTCGGGTATTGTAGTTTGGTAGGTAGGTTGTCGTGTTTAAATACATTACTGTACTACAATGAAAGGTGCAGCACAAAATGGTCCTAGGTGTTTCTCTCCGTTGTTTTAGCACATGTAATAAAGGCTTGAAACTACTGGAAAGTTACTGTATGTTTTTAGAGCTTCGGAGTAACTTTTCACAGAGAGAGAAATAGAGAGAGAGCATCAAGAGCATCACATGAAGCAACAATCCAGAAAGTGTGTGTTATGATCTTCCTGTCCAGTTCAGTACAGTATGCAGTGCAGTTTGATACTGTAGTTATACATATATTATGTTTGTGTGCCAAGTTGTTTCTTTCTTAATGTTATTGTTGGTCATTTATACTTGTTATGTAGGGTTTTTTTTTTTTTTTGTATTTATTGGGTAAAGCTAAATGTTATATTTTATACATCTGCCCCCACTGAGAAAGGCGACATCCTCCGAGGCAAAAGGTGTTGTGCTCAGTAAGGCCTTTTCTCCCATTTGGTCTGTAACTATAATGGTCCATAATGCTTCATACCACACCATGTTGTCTCCTTGTTTGTAGTGAACACCATGTGACTATGTGATACTTATGGTTTATTTATTGTAGTGCAACAAATTCAGAACAAATAATCACCAATTGTTGTCCGTAATTTACCTTTAAAATTAATGAAGAAATTCCTTGGAGTTCTTGAATTATATAAAGTTACACACGTTTTTGTAAGAGTACACAGAGTTTCAAAATCTCTCTTTTTTTCTTTAAATGCCAAACATAATTCTAACTTGAATCCTATCATGTTTGGTAATGTTGTTACATATCTAAATGCATTCATGTTGTATAAATGTTCTTACTATGTATAAAGAATCACATCTTTTCATGAATATGTCATTTTTTATAGTATTTGGAAATAGCTTAAAATAACTTATACACTCATTTGGTATTCTCAGATGAGTGTTCACGATTGTAGGTACAGAGTCAGGAACCTGTGAGAGCATTGTGATAATACTCTCCAGAACAGTGGACTCTTTTTAGTCGGCCAGCAACGCCTTACAGATCCTGCACAAAGCTGTTAGTAAATCTTTGTAGAAGCTTTTGATATGGAACTTGGTGGCCGGTTGCTAGTCTCATGCCGTCCTTCCAGCGCGAATATTATGTCCATCGGGGGGCTAAAAGTCATCGTAGGTAAATGGTTTTCATCTTATTATGTCACCAGTTGCATTTACAGTCTTATATATTGTAAATGGTTTTCCATTATATAACTTATGAAGATTTTTTTATACCTTGAACATGTAATGTGACTGAACAATTGCATAATCATACACAACTCCAGCATCCAGTGATAGTCCTGTACCTTAGGTTGATGGTGTGGGTTTAGGAGCATATTTATCATTAACTTAGTGATAAAGTTTCCTGCAGTGTAGAAAAAATGTAGATGGAGATAGAGGTCTAGTCTGCTGTAGCATTAAATAAGCTAAATTGTAAGGTATTATTTTATGTGATATACTAAATTTGTAAAATGTTGATTATTTTCCTTGTTTAAATGTTTGCAATTTTTTTGGTGCAAAGAACTTCATAGAGTTTGCATTCTGCTGCCCTAAATTGAGAACACGAAAACTTGCAAGCTGGACTCTACTTTACCCAGGATCAGCATCTAAGGAAGCGAGTTATTAGAAGCAGGGAAATGAACTCTCCAATTTACTGTGACTAAGAAACCATGCACAAGCTGGTCCTTAAATTGAGTTAATTCCCATTGTGCTAATGTTAGGTAATATACGATTAAAAGAAAGGGTCGGAAATGACAGAAAGACTTAAAGAAATGATGATAGAGCAAAGTCAAAATATACTGTATGAATATAGTAATGTAGTAAAAATCTAGTACAGGTACCCATATATTCACCCTTTTCCTGTGTGTTTGTTTTAAAGCTCAAATGGTTCACCAAGAACAGTTGAGTGGGAAGAAAACAAATTCAATATTTTTTTGTTTAAACAATCATGACCTGCTCAAAAGTAGCTGTAGCTATATTATTAATTCTGCATAGCTTAGTGTTCCTTCGTGCATTCTCATACTCCACACTGTACTGTCTCTACAGACATATTTTTTTTTCTCATCTGTCTTTCTAAGCTTCCTTCCTTCCAGATACACGAGTCACCCTGGTTTTGTATCACATTCCTGTACAGTATTGTATTGCAGATGCTTGGTAGCATTTCTTGTGTATCTACCATATCAAAATGTAAAATTATTTTGTATATGTTTCAAATACTTTTCGTTTTTGACACAAAGGTGTGTAAAGTAGTCAAAAGGCAGTAAATTTGGAGGCAGTTTTGTCTGGGCCAGTGTGCATTAAATGTAAGTAAAGGGATTATTTATTGAGTAGTGAACACTTTGTTATTCAAACAATCTTGTAATAAAGTCTTTGAAAAGTATAATTAACATATCAGCAAATAATGGCCACTAAGCCACTCTAGTCCTTTAAAGCTTATTTCTTCATCAATGCAATCAGAATTCTCTAAAATACAAAATTCAATTAATTTCAAATACTATACACAAACATCTTTCTAATCTGGCATGATAGTATAATAGTCTGGTGCTTTTCAATTACAACATAGCTCTTGGTAAACCAATTATTCAGAATACTTTTCACTATCATACTCTGGCAACACAGGACAATACCTCTTATTGGCTGATGCTTGGTAATGTTGCCTTGCCATTGGCTGGGGCTTCCAGCACGCTTGCCACTTCCTGGCCTCCATTGCACAAGGAGTGTGGGAAGAGGGTACACCATTGGGAAATATAGAACCCTTGCTGATAAACACCACAACTGCGCATCTCCCAGCAGTTATGTTCAGGCACTGGGGAAAGCTGGGCTGGTAAAGACTAAAGCTCTTGTCAACCTTTTTTATTAAGCTGAAGTGTTTTAAAACCTTAGTAGAGACCACCAGTGTTGCCAGTTACAATTTATTAACATATTAGTGTATCAGGGATGTGTACCAGGTTGTAGGGGGAACATTTAGAAGTTCAGAAAATCCACTGATCTGGTATGACTGGTACTAATCATGCTGGGGCTAAAGAGAGATTGATGTATTTGTATCTGAGAACTTAAATAACCACATAATTATTCCCCAAATCTGTTGTGTTTCAGTGTCCAACATCCAATACAAGAAATACTGGAAAATTGTATTTAGCCACAGATAGTGACTAGTAAGGCTATATGTTTGCTAAAATTATCCCTGAAGAGTTTGAAACCAGTAATGGCAATTTTGTTCAACAAGAAATTGCATATTATGTGTTTGAAATAGTTAATGTTATTTACCACTATTGTTACCCAAAATTGTGCTTTCAGGTCTTTCACCCACTTCGGTTCATGTGTGATAACTGACCACTAGCTTAGTAACTCCTAATGAACTGTATTTGCCTTTGATATTTAAAGCAGTGACAAACAGTTATGTAGAAAAGTGAATACTATATGGAAGTAGCATAATATTCTGGGGATTTTGTTTAAGGGATGCCATTCAGACCATAACCAGATTCCTAAATGTAAGTTTTAATCATATCACAAAATGATAGTTAATGTTGCTTTTTTCACATTCCATTATTGTATAGCGGTGTGGCTGTCTCTCCAAGGTCTTGCGTGGGTGCCATATGCACTTATTTATTGCTTTTATACACATCTTAATTTAAGGAAAATAATTTATTTGACTTGTTTTATTATCCTTACAGTATTTAATGTTCTTTGATCCATTCTGAAAGACTAAGAATTCCAGAGAGCTGTACTGTATGACTAAAGGTTTGAAAAAATGGACTACCTACAACATAGAGCTTTTCATACTGAACAGAACTGTATTTGTCTGATTAACTTTTGGTCTTTAGTCTGCCTCGAAGGGTTTCAGTAGGGGCACAAGTCAACCAGGTGTCATGGGGATTATGTATAGGAAGTACAGTAAAAATCTCCATTATACAGAGATTTTATGACATACTGGATGAGGGACACCCGAGAAAAAACAACAACAATGGTACTTTTCCTTTATGTGCCCCCAATCAAAACTCAATCCTTTCTAAGTACAGTACAGTACCAGATTTAGGCTTAACAGACAAAATGGCTTAAACACTGAGCAATGATGGAAAAACAAGTGGAAGAAGCTTGTGAGGCATGCACTCTGACTGACCAAGACCAACAGTGTTGTCATTATTCCACATGCATGTATAATGTCACATTTTCTCCGGTTTATTTTGAGACCTTGTGTTAAGGTTTTTTTTTCCCAATTAAAAGCTACATGCAAGTTTGAAAAAAAAAAATACAATCATGTAGCATACGTGCGTTTAATTTGCCTGCATTCAACTTGGCGCTTGGCTTAGGAAGAGAAAAAGAATGACGCAGTGAGCGTAGGTGCTTACAGCTTGGGGAGATGCTTCCAAGGACTAAAATCAGTAAGGACACACCGCTGTAATGTCATAAACTTTAGCTCCGCCCCATTCAATAACATTACGCAAGCACACGTCATCTGAAGACTTGGAGGCAGTCACGAGATGGTGACGGCCTTGCCTTGGTGGACGTTTGATGTTTCATTTTTTGAGAATACTGTACTGTACTAGTAAGGCTGAGGCTTTTCTATGGTCAAAAAAATATGTGAAAAAAGCAAAATATTACAAGGACAAAGGATGGTGGGATGCCAGACATTTTGCTGATGACATGGACAAAGCAACTCTCAACATTTTGAGCATATTAGCAATGCAAAGATTTTCCTTTTGCCTGACATGGCAAGGTGAATGTCTGGTGAACAGTAATAAAGTCAGAAAAAAAGAGTCACAGTTTTGGCTAGGAAAAAAAGTCACATTAAAGGTAATACAACTAAAAATATTTTAAAACAGTTATTAACTGACAATACATGACTTTTACATATTGACAACACAATTTATATATGATGCACGTAGCTTTGGTTAGGTTAGGTGACTTTTTTCTGTGACTTTTTTTACCTGGATTCGAATGTCTGAGGGTACTCTGGACAACTGGATATTGCCTTACAATGTAGACCTAAGAAAAAGAGAAAGTTTCTCTAAGGGTTAAGCATCACGACCGTTGCTGGTGATTGGTGAATTAAGTTAGTATGTAACTCTGGTTTTCTTAAAGTTTGGGCTATATTATTGTTTTCGGTAAAGGTGTAGAATAGCGCTAACACCAGAAGTTGTTTGATTTTCTTTATTTTTCCTTTACTTATTGTTTTGGTGATTTTAAGTACAAGTATATTAAAAGAAACGACAACTTTCTAGTATAATTTTTATTTTAATTTGTTTTATTTACTCTATCCCGCGTCACAGTTCTCCCGGCGCCATTTTTGTTGTTTGCCTCGCTGAATCCCTTTTTAAGAGACGTTTCCTTAATGATGGTGAACGTTTACACGAATTCCTCCTCGCCATTGCTGATGTATATAAACCTCAATATTAAGGTAAGTATCGGACATGAGGCTTGAAGATGGTAGTTACGCAGATTCTGACCAGAGGATGCGAACAATATTCCTGCGTTTAAGGATAGACGGTTTGGCACAACACTGATCCACATTGTGTTCGCAGAAGAGGTTATAAGAAATAAATTGTTAAAGCTAAAGGTTCATAAGAGTCCCGGCCCTGACATGGTGCATCCCAGAGTGCTAAGAGAGTTGTGCAACGAGCTTGCTGAGCCCCTGAAGATCCTGTTCTGTAAATGCCTGGATGAGCAAAAGGTCCCCAGTGATTAGAAAATGGCTTATGCGAGTCCGTCTTCAAGAAGGGTGATCGTCACTCCACGAATAGCTATATATACCAGTGAGCCTGACCAGCATAGTATGCAAAGTACTTGAGAGCATTATAAGAGATGCCATGATGGAACATCTACGAAACAACCTTGCAAAGGATTGCCAACACGTTTTATGCCGGGACGCTCCTGCCTAAGGTAATGGATGTTTGTACCCAGATTTTGCCGAGGCTTTCGACAGCGTACCCCAATGAAAGCTGAAAATTAAACTGGAAGGATACAGGACTCGGGGAAGTGTCCTAGCGTGGACCGGAGACTTTCTCCATGATCGCAAGTAGTGTGTGAGGTGATTAATGGCACAAAATCGTCAAGTGTACCCGTCACAAGCGGGTTACCACACAGGGCAGTGTATTGGGCCTGGTTGTTTGTTTGCTTCATAAATGTTTGCGGGTGATGCCAAGCTATTTCGGGAAATTAAGAACGAAAGCGGACTGTGAAGAGCTGCAGAAGGATATCTGTGAGCTTCAAGAATGGTCGAAGAAATGGCTGCTAAGACTCAATGTCACGAAGTGTAAGAGGCTGCATCTGGGACGTACCATCGATAAGGATGCGTATCATATGTCCCAACGGGACGAAGAAACTGCATTGAGACAATGTAAAAAGGACCTAGTTGTGTATGTTGACAATGAACTGGAGTTCTCGAGCCATTGTGAGAAGGTGAATCAGGATACTAAATTATTAGGTCTTATAGTGAGGTTCTTCCCCGCATTGAGTACTGTCACCCCGTCTGGTCCCTAAGATATGCTAGGGACTGTCAGTTGATTGAAAATGTCCAAAGGAGGTGTCACCAGGCTGGTGCCAGCACTTCGGCACCTCAGCTACCCTGAGAGATTACTTCACCTGCAATTGCCTAGCTTATACTGCAGACGGGCAAGGGGGGGCCTAACTGAGGTGTATAAACCTCTTAAAGGGCACTACTCAGTCGAGTGTCCTTACCTGGAGCTGGCGGACGCTCACACCACAGGGGGTCACAGCTCAAGGTTGAAGAAGCCGCAGGTCCAGAAAACTGTGAGAGGTAACTTTTTCGGAGTGAGAGTTGTGAACTCGTGGAGCAATCTGCCAGAGTGTGTTGTGACGGCACCGAGTGTGAGCTCTTTCAAGACCAAACTTTACAAGCACTGGAGCAGTGTTCAGGTACATTCAGGAGCCGGTGCATGCCCAGTTCTTGCCAACAGTGCGTAACAGAGACGTGACCGATCGCCCAAGCGGCTAACGAGCCGATCAGTGGTTAAGAGGCTAAAAAAAAGAAAAAAGTAAAAAGTAAATACTAGGAAGACACTTCAGTATTATAATTCGATCTATTCGGCCACAGATCCTGAATGTGCGCGTCAAGGACTACCTATAACAATATTTTAACCAAAACTTCGAAACAGAAAATGCTAAAATTAATCTGGGAAATTAATTATCAAATTTCAACTTTTAGACAACAGATCCATAATCTACATGTCGAAGAATACCTATACTGAGATTTTAACTTAAAAAAATTGCAAGGTATGAGCCTACGCAGACCCGATAAATTGAACACAGACATTGTGATACCCCATGTGGCAGTAATATTCCACCAGTTGCAAATATTTGTACCACATAATCTCATGTACAGTATATTACAGTGGTAGGGAGCTGGTACTAATTAAATATGAAATATCGGTTCCTTTTATCTCATAAAATTATACATAGGCCTAAAATGTTGTTATAACGGCTAACGGGGAGATTACTGTACCTGTAAAAAGGATAAATCAGATAAAGTTATTAATTTTTTTTAACAGAAGTAAATTATGGAGCGCACTGCTTTATATTGTAAAACTATGTGTTCAAAATCAAATCACATAAATGTGTATAAAAATTGCTGAGAATATGATAAATACTTTTATTTAGAGGAAAAAACTGCATGTAAAATAATAATTCAGTTACACATAAATATTTCCTTGCATCTCATCAAGGAAGTTTTTACAACCTATATAATTATAAACGAGACGAACCCAAACCTGCCACAGTTGTTGCACCGTTTCAAAGTACCAACTTAAGTATACTAGTTATGAAGTATTTATTGGCAATATTGGCTTATCTGAGTTGAATTATTTCAAGAGTAAGATGAATTTCAAGTAAGTTATGTTCACCTTGAGAGTAATAAACTACATGAGAAGTTATTATCATTTACTTACACAATGAATAACTGATATTTATAACTTCATATAGTTTTAAATTAACTGTCGTCTGCTATGAAAGCTACAAAATTTTCTAGCATAAAAATACATTACAAGTATTATTAACCGTCACTTGTAAAGTTTAATAACTAGAGAATAGTCAACTATACAGAAAACTTCAAAATTAACCTTATACCGTAGTTTTAACTTCACTGATGCCGAGTTGAACAGCTAAATTACCTGCTCAGGTGTACAGCAACACAAAACTGTACAGCACCTCAACAGGTGTAAGAGTTCAACACACGTACAGGGTGAGTCACTCGCTGGTAACCCCAGAGACTAATATAACCCTTACTCATGAGACAACAAACAAGAGAGAGAGAGAGAGAGAGAGAGAGAGAGAGAGGAACACTTGAGAATAAAACATAAAAAACATGACTGAAAATACACAAAACACTTAATAGACCATAAATAATTGATATATTAGCAGTACACGGGGGCTACCAGCTAGTGACCATCCCGGGTATATAATATTATAACTTTTAGTGCAGAGTTAACAACACTGCCAGCTACAGCCTCCTTGAGTGTGCAGTCAGCAGGACGGATCCAGGAACAGGACTTGAGGAAACGGGTGTGCATAATGTAGTCAAGTAATCATTTATGGTATCATTCATGAGATCTGCAGGTTTGTACACTTTTTTTTTTTAGGTAATTCATTAAGCCTTTGAACAATTATCATTTTAGAGAGAGATTGTGTATTTGATGTATAAAAATTGTTTGTTTTTTTGTGATCGATAAAAAAATAAAAATATCCGTTTCGTATGTACACCCACCCAAGAAAGTGCTATCAGTCCTCGCTCTTATCCATGAACCCTGTGAATCCGAAACAACACACATAGTGGAACCTTTTTTTTTCGGATTCACAAAGACATAATGGGAGAGAGAACTGACAGGACTTCTTTTGGTGGATGTACATAAAACTTATTAGATATGTTTGAATTATTATTTTTTTTTTACATATGAGTATTATTAAGGAGTGAACTAATGTTTAAATCAAGTTCATTATTATAACTTCCTTTAAATACCAATATATTACTTATTTTTTTTTTAACACGAACTGGAAATATTAGATCATATTTACCTTGGGGCTATTGTCGTCATCAGCAACCTCTTTCTCTACATGGAAGCAAGTGCAGTAAAAGGCTGTGATTAAGACATAGTTATCTATATTTCATTATACTATAGATTAGCTATTTTAAAAGCAGATATATAATGCTGTTTATATAGAGAAATTTGTTTTAAAAAGCAAGTTAACCCATAAAAATCTCCTGAGATACCAAAAAAAAAAATGTTTGTAAGTTAGAGCACACGCGGGAGGAGTCCTGATATATTTCTATGTGTGTATGTGTCTATTTCAATCATAATTACTCTAAATTTACTCTATTTTATTTATTAATGAGGAAAAAAATAAAATAGGCCTTGTTTACATACACCTGTGATACTCTTCCTTATCAATACCCAACTCTCATTTTGATACCAAGTTCTTCCTTCCCTCATAACTTCTGTAGATGCCAAAATGAGAGATGGATAATGTAGGTAAGATCATCACACAGAGAGAGAGAGAGAAAAAAACAACATTATTTATGGGGTGTGTCGATAATTAATTTACTTTGCATGTTTGTTTAATTAATGGTATTGGGAGTGACTTTATGAAACTTACACAGGGCGATGGATAGATGCATACAGGGTCTAGTGGAGAGTGTTCAGTGGCACTATACTATGAGGGAGTGTGTTCAGTGGCACTATACTATGAAGGAGTGTGTTCAGTGGCACTATACTATGAGGGAGTGTTCTGTGGCACTATACTATGAGGGAGAGTGTTCAGTGGCACTATACTATGAGGGAGTGTGTTCAGTGGCACTATACTATGAAGGAGTGTGTTCAGTGGCACTATACTATGAGGGAGTGTTCTGTGGCACTATACTATGAGGGAGAGGTGGCACTACAGATACTGGACAGGTGAGACAGGTAGCACTACAGCTACTTCTAATGAGAAACAAGTATCTTTTGGAGTTAGGTAGTACTGTAGTTACTCGGGAAAGGAGAGGGGACAGAGAAAGAGAAGGAAGAGAAAGAGATAACTAAGATAAAGAATGAAAGATAGATATAGACACTGAGATAAAGATGTAGCACCTTTTTTTTACTGGAGTGAGAGAGAGAGAGAGATGCTGAAGTACAAAGGGGAGGGGAGGGGGGCAGGACTGGCAGACGAGCCTGTGAAGAAATCAAATAAGACAGCTTGTGTTGGGTCAAACAGATGGAATGTGTGAGGTGCTACGGAGGACGTGAGTAGGCAAGAGAGGTGAGTTGAGTACCGAAATGTGTTAGTAAAAGTGCACTGAGACTACGACTGTCGACATACTGAATTTGGGGAAAATCGTGGATATTACTAATTTACTGATACATACAGGGACGGGTTGACAATAGTCACTGTATACTGGTCTGTAAAAACAGCAAGGCAAATTTTAAGTGGGACTAGTATGATCACCCTTTAATTAACCAGTATCTACATTTTTTCCGGTTAGTTGAAATTACAACAAAGTCCTGATATTAAACTTTAAGACAAATTTCAATGGTATAAAAATCTCTTTCATAGTCCAGAAGAATGTGAAAGGTATATACATATAGTGTGGGTGATTATCCAGGTTCCTGTGAAAATTGTCCTTCCCAAACAAGGGCCACGTGTGTGTTTCAGTACGAGGTCTCACAGGGTATGAGGGAGCTGAACCACCTGGTACAAGTGATCTTCCTATATCACAAGCAGCACAGGCGAACTTAGTACCGAGTCACCCATAAAATACTCCGACTTACTTATTACTACAGTGAAATACTGTACAGGTATCTTCTAAATTAATAAATAAATAAATAAATAAATAGAATAAATAGCACCATCTACTTAATACCTAATATAACAACCACTTCACAGGTATTTTTCTCAACTATTTCCAGCTAACAGACAACAATGTTGTTTCACCTGTCTCTTCCGTTATCTTCATCAGATTATCTTTCCAAACTGCTTTTATCTTGATTGTGATGTACACTTATTGAGCTTTTCTTCTCACTTGCTATATCGTGGTAGCGTTTGTTATCACTATTTCCAAGATTACAGAACCATCAGCGCTGGTCACTTACTGAACACACAACACCATCAAGTGTACCTATAGCATCTCATATGATACGTCTATGCTTCTGAGGAACACACTGTTTTGCTAATCAATAAACATAACACTTAGTTGAGCATTTAGCTTCCAGATGCATGAGAGATGTTTATCAGAGAACACCTGGGGTAGCAGCAGGAGTACTTCCACTTGGAGGGAGGGCAAGGGACCAGAATGGCCATCACAACCATGAATGTATAAGACACATCAGAATCAGAGTGACAACCGCCTTTCAAGAGCGGGTGTGTAGGTGGGGGTTTAGTGTGGATGGGGTGAGCGTGATGGGTGAGCATGAGTGGGTGGGACCGATATGGCCCAAGGCTATGGGGGTCAGAAGCGAAACTCTCTGAAATCTGGGTGACTATTGGAGGTGCGAGCTGAGTGACGAAATGGCGGAGCAGCCATAGCTGAGTTGGTGGAGGCATTTGTGGAACGGTTACGTCTGCTGGAGAAACGGCCAGGTCTTTTGGGCACTCGCGGCAGGGACCAGGGCTTGCCCTTACGACTCCAGGAGTGAGAAGACATATCCTTTTGAATGGCCCCCCGAGTACCTGCGTGGTCTCCAGCCATCAATGACCTGGAAGACAGTGTGAGCGAAGTCTGGGGAATATCCAGTGTGTTTCGGGTTGATGGCTGTGGTGTAGGGGCAATGCTCACATGATGACCACCTATTCCTTTACAATTTAGATGATCCAGGAGGTGTGAGCTGGGCAGAACAGGGCCTGAGACAGTGTGTACTGGGCGGGAGTACGGGGCAGGTAGAGGCAGACGTTGCAGTCCAGAGTATGACGAAGCCGCCATAGCCAAGAAGGAATCGGGCTTAGGATGACACGTAGATGTTTCTGCAGTTGTCTGGGGAAGGGGGTGACACGAGGAGGGGCGCCGGCTGCCCTCACACTGACAGGTCCGTCCAGCACGACACCCGCGTACCCGCAGTGTCATCTCCACCCCAGTAAGGCACGGACACGGACACCCTTGGGTGCCCGGGGCCATCTGCAAGATAAACTCATAATTATTTTTCTGTTTAAAAGTAGACTAAGAAATAAACACAAGTTCATATACTATATACATGGAAAAATATTAATAAAGACCCTCCAAGGTTAATGACAATGTTTAAAATACGGTAGTAAATTGTTTATCTGCAGTAGTCAAGTGTTCTGTTACGTTTTATATATATATATATATATATATATATATATATATATATATATATATATATATATATATATAAATTCAAAATCTTGTGTCCAGTATTGCGATAAATTTAAATGTTGCAAACGGTATCAAGTTGTGTTGCTCTATAACCAGCTTGCCCCATAGACAGTTAGGTTAGGTTAGAGTTCGCCAGATAAGGGCTCCTTGCCAGTACTGACGTTTAGTTAAGTACGGCTTAGTCATAATAATGACTGTCACCACTGATTAGGCTGAATGTGAAGTCAAAAAATGGCAAGGGGCGAACGGGTAGGAGGCGAACGGGTGACGGGGCAAAACAGCTGTACACCGCAGTTAAATACAATATACAGTACTCATAACCTTATAACATCACCACAATAGCTACTCATCAACAGATAATATTTAACTGATGTGCATTATGAATGACGCTAATCCTCGTTAGATGCATAAATAATATTCACACCTATAATTGGACGATTAATCTTGATATCCCATTTTAAGACTGAGTTTGCCCCAGGTGACTCATAACGAGTGCAGTAAATCAAAGACGTCCGTAACCAGAAAATCCCCAAAACTATACTGGCTGATGACAATAACCCCGTTACTGTCATTACCTTAAAAACATGAATAATTAGAAGCAAAATTTACAATAAAGGCTGAAGACTAACGAATTATGGAGTTAAATATCCCAGGTACCTGTCACCCAGATTTCAAACCATGTCAGGAGTGTTGAGGTAAAAGTCACCCCTTTGATGGCTGTATTTACGAACACTGAGGAATAATATTTCAGGATAAAGATCTATTATTTACATCTATTATTTATAACCTATCGGCCATCATAGGTAACTCGTATAAGGAGGCAGAAAAGGCACTACAAAATCTAATGTGATGCGCATCCCACTAAGAGACTAAATTACTGAGAATTACATACAAGAAACTGACTTCATGAAATCGACTGATGCCCCAATGCTGTTTTGAGCAATGTTATAACCTCAAACTAACCCAGTGATTCACACATTTTCCTGGAGGAGTCCTGTCAAACACACTCACACACACACACATTTATAGAACCAACACGTGTCATTCCACCAGCCAGACGCTCCCAATGAAAACAAACATATCAGATCTACAGAATTGAGGATTTTTTTTTACGAGGATTAGCCCACCCAAGGCACAGGTCACTGACCCACATCGGGGCCTGGGGAGGCGAAAAAAAGAACAAAAAATATATACAGAAATGGAAAAATTAAAAAAAAAAAGAGAAACGATACATATGTTGTGTTGTCAAAGTAAGAGAAACAATTGAGACCCTGCAATTGTGTGTAAATGAGGCAGAAAGTCAGATCATGTACCTAGGACTTGGTCACAATTTTCGTGATGCCATATGGCAGCAGAGTCTACCATTAGACAACACATAATGCTTCCAATATCTTCCCAGGCGGTAGTACCTCCCTGTCTACTACCTACTTCTATTAACATCATGAAAATAAATGTACATTTCAGGAATAAAAAAAATGTGATACGAAACAACTATATAACTAAATTAGGTTATTTTACTTTGCTTGATATTTTATTTTATTTAATTAACCTCATTATCGAGTACAGATCTTGACTTACCAACGGAAATAGGAGAAGGTAAATGGGAAAAGACCCTCGAAAAGTTGACGCAAAAAGTTAAAAATAAATCTACGACAATAAATAACAAATAAATAAATAAACTACTACTGTGTTGAAGTTAAGAAAGGAACTTAACTCTAGTAATAAGGTCAATGGGTTTTAGTGCTGTATACTGTACGGCGCAGAAGAACTACTTAAATAATTCTCCCACGTTCTCTCCATCCTCTTATGGCGTCTTATTCCATTAACCTCCAAACACCGTGTTTCTTTTATTAATTACGATTTACAGTATCTATGTAATTACAGTGAAACCGATATTGTTGACGGACTATATGGAGAGGAAAGTCCATTATATAGTGTTTTCCGTTAATGTGAAGCCTCCATCTAACAAACTATTCGTCATTCACTATCTGTCCAGCCCTCATTCACTACATGTTCAGTCCTCATCCACTATCTGTTCAGCCCAGTCCAGCCCCTATCCACCACAATAAGGCGAGGAAGACCACACACTTATAAGATATCTTAAAAAAAAAAAGTCAACAAATTCACAAATAAATATATAACCACAAGAATATATTTTAAGTGCTGAAATCATGGTAGTCAATATACGTACAGTAATTTATAATTTATGATTAATTTATAAGCGATTTTATCATAGTGTTTGTATTGAACTAAATAAACCACCTGGCAAGTGTTTGTCATCTTTGTTTATAAGTTAAGTTGGGGGGAGGGATACGAAGCGGTGATACGGATTCTTTTAATAATATGGGCGACGGTCCTCACACCAACCCACCCTCCCTCACCACTCAACTACACTGTCAAGCTCCTCAAAGAGCGTCTACCTTAATTAATAACTCCATCTATTGCGACTGTACATAAAAACTGAAATGAGTTAAGAGTGTTCGTTCATTAGCTGTCGTGTGGAGGACGTCTTGCCAACACCCTCGGCTAGTGGGACTGTAACGGGAGTGGGTGAGATAGTGACGTGTGTAGGCGAGGCAGTGACGTGTATAGGGATGATAGTGATGTGTTAGGATGATAGTGACGTGTGTTAAGATGATAGTGACGTGTGTAAGGGAGGTAGTGACGTGTGTAGGGGAGACAGAGATGTGTGATTTGATAGGCGGCTTGTCCACCTTCCTTGCCCACACCTCACAACACCCTCACCTCATCTCCCATTCATAGATCACTGACCACTCCCAACACGAGGGGACACGAACATAAAATTTACTCCTAAAATTTATTACATCTGAGGAGGTTAAAATATTACAGGTAATAACAGAGACCAACCCGATACTGTACCTCTAACTACCCGTCATTAGTTAACCTGTATCTTTTATGTATTTTCTGCATTAGTACGTTTCAGGTGAGTACAATATTTCTCTACGAATGTTACACAAATAATATCAAGACTGGGAACTTGATATATAGCCACACACACACATACAAGTATAGTCATAGTTCTGTATCTTCAATGGACTGACGCTTTCAATTTATATATCTCTTAACTTTCCTTCTGTCTTTATACTGTTGTTATCAGATCTCTCTCTCTCCCCTCCATCATCAGGGTTCATAGATCATTCTTTTCTTCTCTAGAGAGGTGAGTGTTACGTGGAGTGTTAGAGAGGGGGATGTGTCACCAGCCTTCAACAAGTGTGAAATTCAGGTTCAGATTTTGCTAGTTTATTAGACACCCCCTTACATCCTGTGTAAGGCGAGGTGTAGGAGGGTATATGTATACTGTATATATATTACATCGCCCATCAGGGAAGCATGTGTAGTTCATGCTCGTTTTCTTTTGATTTATAAGGGACGTAAGTACCTGAGAGGCCATTGGTTGTGTTAGCAAGTTACATGTAGTGAAGGGAGGGAGGATATAATGTGTATACTCCCTGAACAAGTGCATCTGTTTATGGCAAAGCGTGGCAGTTCCTTAATGGTGATGATGATGATGATGATGATGACGATGATGATGATAATAAGGATGATAATAATGATGACCGTGATGGTGATGATGATGATGAGGATGGTGATGATAAGGATGGTGATGATGATGAGGATAGTAATGACAATAATAAAGATACTGATGATAATGGTGATAATGATGATGATGATGGAAGTGGTGGTGGTGGTATCTCGACAGGGAGGTTTATGTGGTCAGGCATGGATGACGTGAGGGTGATGGCTGGATACCTGTAGGAGGAGGAGGAGGAGGAGGAGGAGGAGGAGGAGGAGGAGGTACTAGGACAGGTATTGATGTATTGAGGGAGGGGGGTATGAGAGTCGGGTTGCCCACAGTGTTTTATACAAGTAGTGGGATGAAGTTCCGAGTTGTTGGTGTACTCCAAGTTGCACCTATATCCAAGGCGCGGTCTTGGATACACAATCTGTTGAGACCAAGAATGCATTCACTGTAGACACAACTGGGATGGGAAGACGGGCATCGTAATACTCAGTTGGCAACACAATACCAAACCTTCCTCTACCTTACGAAAGTTGATTATAATGTTACGTGTATGCAGTTTCCTCAGTGGTGTGTGTGTGTGTGTGTGTGTGTGTGTGTGTGTGTGTGTATGTGTGTGAAGTAATGTGGCTCATTTGTCACACCTCCTCCTATGTCACACCTTCACCTGTCATACCTCCACCTTCACCTGTTGTCATACCTCCACCTTTGTCATACCTCCACCTGTGTCACATCTTCACCTGTGTCATACCACCACCTGTTCACACCTTCACCTGTGTCACACCTCTGTGTCACACCTCTACCTGTGTCACAACTTCACATGCGTTTGTTTACATACTGATAACTCCTCACACAGTCTTCGTCTCTACCTCTCTTCTCTTCTCTTCAGCATGATTCTCCAACCATCATTCCTCTCTCCCAACTCCTCCTCCTTTATCTCCTTTTACTCTTTCTTCTTCCTCTTTCTCCACATTCCTCCTCCTCCTCCGTCTCACCTGCTAGACATCATCATGCTCCTGTAACAGAGGCTGGGAAGCGGGGGCGTCCTGAGCAGGGTCACAGGCGGCGTGGGGACAGGCATGTAGGTCCAAGGCGCATGACCCCCCGCCCATGCCCATGCCCGACGCTGAGGTAGGGGTCATGGGCGTTAGGGGAGACATGGGAGTCACCGGTGTCAGAGGCGTAACTGTAAACAAAACATGGTCAAATGAGTTAAACATTTCTTGATAAATTGGTCAAATGAGAGTATAAAATAAGAAAAGTTAGAGGGCAGTGTGGATATAGTACACTGTATACTGAAGCAAGGAGGTAGCAAGGCCAGTACTGCACTCGACCGCATTCACTTTCTATTATTGTACATTAAATTCTAGTAAATATGAATATCTACATTCTGGCTGTCCAAGAATTAAGGTTCAGGTAATGACAGCAGATGAAGCATAACTCAGGCAAGACATGTCATGAAGTCGTAAGTCGCTACCATTCGCGTGACAGTCGCACATTACGCTCACTACCTGACACTGTACTCCGGGTGCTCTGATCGTGATTGCCAGTATGTTGGTTCGATCCCCCCAACAACCAGGTCATGGAGTAAATTGAAGTCTTATAAAATATTAACAAAAAAAAAATTAATGTGCCTTAATAACACACGTCTACACCATAATGAGAGAGAATGAGGGAATATATTTCAAAATAACCGAAAACAGATGAGAATTGAGAAGCGCAGTGAGTTTGTAGTGGTGAGCTGGACAAGGATAAAAATATTACCCGTTGTCCCCCCAAAGGCTTTATTCTATACCACATACGGCTGGCCAAGGTCGAAGTGGCTCAGCTTTAAGTATATTTATGTGCTTGTAGTTACGTTATCTACCCAATAGTAACCATATTCCTAAGTTATCTATCCCCTTTCAATATTTCTCTTCTTCTCTCTTCTCCCCACAGTTTGATATCAAGGAATTACTGTATCTCCCCTTTAAACATCCCATACCTCGTCTCCCATATTTATTTTATTCTTCCCATCACCCTCCCCCTCCCTTCTTCTCCCCTCTAGATCTGTAAACATCCGCTAAGTGTACAATGACAAACTCCTCACTTCGTCTTTATCTACTCACAACACGGTACAGTATCTTTAAAGTCTCTCTATAATTACATTCATTTATGTGTTATCTGATCCATCAATATGCTATATAACCCTGAAAATATAATTCGTATAATCATTTCGCAATATGTAACAACCTTGAAAACGAAACTAAAAAAAAAAAAAAAAATCCGGGCGTAAGCCAACCACATTTAAAATTCATTCAGTAATCGACTTTGTAATCCCGTAATGTAAAATATCTCATCAACAGTTAGGAAAAAAACCACCCCAACCCCCCACACTACTACTGCTACTTTGTTGTCACTCTGAGGTGACTCGAAAGGCCGATACGGGACCGGCAGGGCCGTCCACAGATGTTGCATGTGTGGAGAGCTACGTCTAGTGCGGGAGGGGCGGCGGCAGCGTCTTTCCGGAGCTGACACTTGTCTGCCTCAGTGATGCTTCTCCAAGCGTTAAGGTGTGAAGTTATCGTCTCCCAGGTGAGGGGATCGATTTGACACTTTTTCAGGTTTGTTTTAAGACTATCCTTATACCTTTTCAGTTGCCCACCAGCTTTACGTTTACCAATCGTTAGGTGAGCGTAAAGTAGTTGCTTTGGCAGTCTACTGTCGTCCATGCGGGTAACATGGCCAGTCCAACATAGTTGTTCATGGATAATGGTAGTCTCGATGCTCCTACAGTTGCTGTTAGCGAGAATACTGACATTTGTTCTCTTGTCTTCCCAGCGAACTCGGAGGATGGAACGTAGACTACGTTGGTGAAAGTTTTCAAGTGCCTTAAGGTGCCTCCTGTATGTGACCCATGTCTCGCTGCCATATAGCAGGGTGGGGAGGACCACTGCTCGATATACGTGCAACTTTGTAGATAATTTCAGCTCCATACAGCTGAGGACACGGATACGGAGTCTGCCAAAGGCTTGAGATACACATGTGATCCGATGTTGAATCTCTTCATCGATGTCTGCGGTGGTGGACAGGTGGGAGCCGAGATACTGGAAGTGGGTAACGTTAGAGAGGGTAGTACCGTTAAGCTGGATAGATGGTGGAGGTGTGGTTGAACCAGGGGCGGGCTGAAAGAGAATCTGAGTCTTATGTACATTCACCTCAAGGCCGAAGTGTGCATACGCATCTCTGTAGGTGTTCAGGATCTCCTGTAGATCGCGTTCAGTGTGAGTGACAAGGGTGAGGTCGCCTTCATATTGAGGTTCAGTAATGGAAGCTGCCAACACCTTTGTTCCTGCCTGGAGTCACCTTAAAAAGACCCTTCATCCGGTACTCGATGTCCACCCCGCAGGCTAAATTGGCACTGGCCTAAGTAAGGAAGGCAGCCAAGAAAACTGAAAAAGAGAGTTAGTGCCAGTAAACATCCTTTTTTACCCCCGTTTGGATGGGGAAGATCTCAGACTGGGTGCCATTGTGCAGGACATTGCCGTTCATGCCATTGTGGAGCCTCACAATGGTGATGAATTTTGGTGGGCAGCTAAAACGGCTGAGGGTCCGCCAGAGGACTTCCCTGTTGACCGAGTCGAAGCCCTTGGTTAGGTCGATGAAGGCCATGTACAGGTCACGATGCTATTCTCTGCACTTTTCCTGTATCTGGCGGGCAGCAACGATCATGTCAATGGTGCCACGTGATGGTCTAAAGCCACTTTGAGATTCTGGGAGGAAGTTTTCCGTCTCAGGAAGAAGTCTGTTTAGGAGGACTCTGGCAAAAATCTTGCCAGTTACGGACAGCAGCAAGATCCCGTGGAAGTTGCCACAGCCTGACCAGTCTTCCTTGTTCTTATAAATATTGACAATAGAGGCATCATTAAGAGTATGGGGGATTTCCTCCTATTCCCATATATTCTCCAGGAGAGAGTGTAGACGGATGGTAAGCAGAGATCCTCCTGCTTTATACATCTCGAGACGGATGGGAAGCAGAGATCCTCCTGCTTTATACACCTCGGCTGGGATTCCATCAGGCCCTGAGGCTTTGTTATTTTTCACCTGTTTGATGGCAGTAGCTACCTCATCCAGGGATGGAGGATAGCTGAGGTGGGTCAGGTCTGGATGCTGAGAGACCTGCTGGGTAGTCAGGACATCCACATTGATGTTCTGATTGAGCACTGAATGGCAGTGCTCTTTCTAGCGCTGAAGGATGCCTTCTTCGTCTTAAATTAGGGAGTTACCATCGGAGGAGTGGAGGGGGGCTGTGCCATGAGTGATTGGCCCATAAAATATTTTAATGGAATTGAAAAAAATCGCCCATCTTGTGTTGATCTGCAAGTTTTTGCATTTCACATGCTTTATTTTTAAACAAGTCGTTCTATAGATTGGGAAAGTTCGCACTGGGACGCTTTCTTCTTGCAGAAGGTGTCAGCTTTGGTTTGAGACTGAGGGTTGTTCTGCCAGTCAGTTAAAGCAGCACGTTTATCATCGACGAGTACAGTACATTGATTTCCGGGTTATTTTCATCAAACCAGTCCTGGTGTATTCTTTCGATATGGCCGAGGGTGTCTCTGCAGATTTTGTCATGACTATGTCGAGATTACCCCATTCGGCACTGGGAGTTGGGTTGTTTGTTGCTGGGTTGTTAATCAGGCCATGTTCGAGCTGCTCTTTGAAATCATGTGCTACCGCTGGACCCTCTAGATTCTTAGTGTGCTGTCTTCGCCGTTTTGGGGCGACGTGAGGTGAGAGCTTGGCTCTGACGAGCCGATGATCAGTGTCGCAGTGGTCTGAGCCATGCATGGCTTGGGTAATGAGGTTATCTCGGCGATCTCTTTCTCTGACAATAATGTAGTCAATGAGATGCCAGTGTTTGGATCGTGGGTGTTGCCCAGAACCCTTGAATTTGTCGGCCTGCCTAAACAAGGTATTTGTGATAGTGAGGTTGTGTACAGCACACTAGCTGAGGGGGAGTAGGCCGTTGGGATTACACACACACACACACACACACACACACACACACACACACACACACGTGTAAATTTCATCATGGTGGTGTGGCTCGTTGAGAGTGACAGCCAGGGCTATAACGCTCAACCAAGGAAGGAGGCGGTGGAGTGTCTCGATCGGCGCAGAAGTAGATAAGTGACTTGAACCCAGCGAGTCAGCCAGCCAGTCATGCTATTTCTAGTCACGAGGCTTCACTGCTGCTCCTCGCCTTCTTCCCTTTAACTGGAATGAATTTTAAGCGCACGGAGAGTGAATTATTCAAAGACAGCCAACCAGCCTCTCTCTCTGTCTCACCTCCGGGATGATGGGGCGTTTGAGACACATGATCCGATGCCTGAGATTATATACTAGGATGATGGGAAGTCTGAGAGACACACGAGGATGATGTGGCGTTAGGATGATGTTCAGTGTTTATATTAAGTGTCTAACGTCCGATGTTTGTTGAGCATTCGATGGGAATAAACATATGATATGACTGTTGGGTTTCCTTGATCGACTTGCTTTCCTGTTTACTATTGCTTATACAGTACCTACACTATCTCCTGTAGGTACGTTGTGTGTTTACCTGCCCTGTCTAGGCACATATCTTGTAGACCTGCACAGTTTTTGTACAATGTACAACCTGTATCGTCTTAATACATGCTGAATTAATGTATACATGTATAACGACAGAACCTTTAAACTCATCGAAACAAAGAAATTAACTAGGGGACAGTTACCCAGTTAGCGTAAGAAAAGAAAACGGAGCCTTAACGCATCAAAATATACAGGGGAACTACTGAATATTGAACCCGTCCGTTTATTGCTTTACATCCCACACACTACAAGACTTTATCGATGTATGCACCGGGTATGTATCTATTCAAGTGATTGTGTTTACAGGGAAAGGTTTACCAGTCAGAAAACGAATCAAGTTCCTACTGAAATAAGACCTCTCTGGTAAACCTTCAGGGCACGGGGGACCTACCTATATATATATATATATATATATATATATATATATATATATATATATATATATATATATATATATATATATATATATATATATATATATATATATATATATATATATATTAGATAGTAATGAGGAATAATATCATGAATATTTTTCGTGGAGTATTTTTTTTTTCGTGTTCCAGTTATCATGTTTACCAAATCTATCTATCTATTTATCTGTCTATCTGTCTATCTCCCTTGTTTCTATGGAAGGGGGTAAGGAAAATAGAAGGAAAAATAGACGAAAGGGTAGGGAAAGACGTGGGACAGGAAGAGGAGGAGGAGGAGGCGTGGGCGAGTAAGGGGTGAGGAGGCAATAGAAAGAGGAGAGAATAGTGAGGTGGTGGAGGTAGGAGAAAGAGTGTATCGAGGAAGGGAAGGAGGAAATTAAAGAAATATCAGAGGTGAGAAGTGTGACGTCAGACATAGGGAAGTTACGTCATAAATTGGAAGCGTGACCCCAGAGGAAAAAAACCCAGGGCGTCATAGAACTGAATGACGTCATGAAGCTGCGTGACGTCAGGGAGTTAATTGATGTCATCGATCGGCAAGAGAGAAAAACAGATGATAAGTAATAAAAACAAAAGAGCATCGAGAGGAGAACAAAAAAAGGATAAAAATGGCGTCAAGGATAAAAATAAACAAACCCGGTGCAAGAAAAAAGAGAAATGTCAAGAGGGGAAATAAATTGGGAGATTTTCGTAAATGTTAGAAATAAGAAATACACAAAACAACATTGCTATGGCCACCGAGGAGGAGGAGGAGGATAGCCACAAGGAGCTCTCAAGTACCCACAACCACTCACAAGTGTGTACAGGTGCGCGTGAGTACCTAATGAGCTTTCCTCCTCACTCCTCTAAGGCACGACAGGTGTGGTTGACAGGTGCCAAGACTGTCTCCCTCAACCCAACACACGTGGGAGGGAGACTGTGTTGCGTGGTACCTTGTGTTGTGTGGGGTGAATGACTCTTCTCTGGTGTGTGTGTGTGTGTGTCTCAACCCAGGTAAGTGTCCAACCGGGTGTTTCATTAATGCTGTTTACCTGTGATGGAAGACCCACACCCACCCACACCCACCCACATACTCGTACACCTACATGCAAGAACATACATGACCTTCGTAAATCCCCTATATACGTGTACACATCACACACCCACACATTCACCAACACACCCACTCTCCCATCAACACACTCACTCTCCCACCAACACACCCACACATTCACCAACACACCCTCACACCACAACACACCCACACGTCCCCCACCAACACACCCCCCCTACCAAAACACCCACAACACGTCCCCCACCAGCACACCCACACGTCCACCACCAACACACCACACACCCACACACGTCCACACACGTCCACCACCAACACGTCTCACCAACACCTACCAAACACCACCACCAACACACCCTCATACCACAACACACACCCCCCACCAACACACCCAGGACCAGAGAGGTGAAGACAACACCCAACTGTCCCCTCATATATAACTCGCTACCTGGGACCACACCTCCCCCACCTGTTACGTCACGGTACCCCCCCACCGACGAAACTGCAACACGTCATCAAACTTTCCTCGCCAACAGTGACGTCACAGAACGAACCATGATGTAATATTGACCTCCATTCATCTTCTCTCTCCCGATATACTGACCTACGAGACCGCTGAAGACTCCATACTAGTGACGTCATGGTTTGGTATTTTCCCCTCCTGGTGACGTCATGGGTTTGGTTCTCCTCATACTAGTGACGTCATTGAGGGTTTCTACCACATTGATGACGTCATAGAAGGGTTCCACCACATTGATGACGTCACAGAGGGGGTCTTGTACCTATGGCCAGTTAACTACAGCGCCATCTTCAGGACTTAGGGTTGGCTTCCACGGCCCACCACGGTAATAATTTTTTCGGGGTAACTTTATTAATTCTCTTAGTGTGTTTATAAATAACTCTAAGGACTTATTATTATGTCCTTCCTAACAATGATAAAAGATCTTATATGAGACAATATGACACAACAGACGAAGAATTATAATAACCCTACTGAGACAACAGGAGTCATAGTGTTCATTCTGAAATTTACCGACCAAACCGTATAGATATTTTTTGGGGGTGAGGGGGGGGCTGTGGGGGGTGGTAGTGTGTTGTATAGTCAGGGTCGTGTTACAAAATTATGGTAGGTCAGGTCAGAGGTCACATCAATATTGGTAGGGTCAAATTTGGTGACCTTTTTTTTTTTTCAAATACACAAGATACATATAGTTTGTCATATATAAACATACTGATGGGTTAAAAAGCGCGCGCGCGCACACACACACACACACACACACACACACACACACATTAAAAAATCACAAAAACACACAAAACTCCACCCAAATCACACAAACAAACACAAACAAACACTATAATACCACAAAACTAATCACTATCAATAATACAAACACACAGACAAACAACTTCAAGAAGGGCAAGTAAAGCCTCTAGAGTCTATAAGACAACAACTATGACTTATCAAGGCTAATGTACAAGACTTTAGTAGTAGTAGTAGTAGTAGTAGTAGTAGTAGTAGTAGTATTTTGACAAAAAAGTAGCTATAGCGCAGGAGGTGGGCGTCGAACTGGTTAACTACGTTACCGGGATATGTTATAAATGGCTCTTGGTAACAAAATGGGTAACTCCAGGATGCTAATGTTTCAAGGTAATGGTTACCAGTAGATGGTTTGCCCTCCCAATGCGTGTGTGGCTATTCCTATGATGGCGATCACGCCATGGTTTGCAAGAAGGGGGCTTCATATGCATGAGGCATGACGAGGTAAGGGATCTCACAGCAAATATGTTGAAGGAAACCTGCCGGGACGTCATGGTAGAACCGACCCTCCTTCCACTGGATGGCGAGATCCTCCAACACAGGACTTCAAACACATCTAACGAAGCCCGTGTGGACGTCAGTGCTCGAGGATTCTGGACGCCGGGACAGCGAGCCTTCTTCGACATCAGGATTTTTGATCCCATGGCCGTTTGTCACCGTAACCTAGCTCTCGATGCTGCACATAGGAGGAACGAGAACGACAAGAGAAGGGCATATGGGGAGAGAATTCAAAATGTCGATCAAGGCAGCTTCACTCCGCTAGTGTTCACAACCTCTGGTGGGATGGGCCCAAGCGCAAGATGTTTCTACGCCAGACTCGCGGAGCTGATCTCCGAACAGAAGCAGCAGCCCAGAAGTTGTGTCACAGCCTGGATGAGATGTCGACTGTCCTTCTCTCTCCTTCGGTCGGCTTTGCTCTGCCTCAGGGGAACGAGAGCTTCTGCCCCTACTCCGTCAACTGCTGCAGATATCGACTATGAGGCTACAGTCACCGAATGCCGCATCGATCTGCGGCTCAACTAATTTAACACAGATAGGATAGTTGCTTATGTATTAGGATATTTAATATTAAGGTAAATAAATGGTGGCGAAGGTGTGGCTATTGGGGGAGGCTGGAGGCCACGTTTAAAAAAAAAAAAAAAAAAAAAAAAAAAAAAAAAAAAGTAGTAGTAGTAGTAGTAGTAGTAGCATGCAAAACAATTCTCCATCCAGCTATTTAAGAACACATCAAGCTAAGGTATAAACACAACTACTTAATAGAAACTCAAATAACAATCATGGTTTCTAATATAGTTCTCTAAGACAACGATGTGGTCTCAAATAGCCGGAGTTGAGAGAAAATCCAAACAAATCACGTACGGATGCTTGAGGTCTGGGAGGAGGGTGGTGATGGTGGGTGGTGGTGAGGTAGGTGGTGGTGGTGGTGGTGGTGGAGGATCAGGAGGAGGAGTACCTGGTAACATGATCTCCTGCTGAAGGGACGACGGAGGCTGTGGCTCTTCCTGCTCACGCTCTGGGGGGGGGGGGGCACCGCCACAGAGAGAGAGAGAGAGAGAGAGAGAGAGAGAGAGAGAGAGAGAGAGAGAGAGAGAGAGAGAGAGAGAACAGAAGATACATTAAGTCATGGATAACAAGAGTGTGCTGTCATGCAGAAAACAATAACAAATCCATAATTAGCAACAGGTACAGGTGATGAAGAATACACCTGTCATGCACTAATACATCAACCAGATAATGAATACAACAATATCTACTACATTATGAAGAAATACACTATAGTGAATAAAGTAAAGATAAATACCACAATTATAGATAATAAGGAAAGAATGTGCCAAGAATTATACGTGGCTAAAGTTTCCACAGCTATAATAAGAGATGTGAAGTTTGATATATTACTTATGGTGAAGGGAATTACTACTTAGATATACAGTACATAAGTAAGGAAGGAGCTAATTACCATGCATTTTTTTATCTGGACAGAGAGGTAGTAGGTGCCACGTGTACATACATACATACATACATAGGACAGAGAGGTAGAAGACATATACATACATAAATTTAGTTGTCAGGTCATGTCATCCACCAGATCATGTCATCCATTAGATCATGTCATCCACCAGGTCATGTCACCCACCAGGTCATGTCACCCACCAGGTCATCATGTCACCCACCAGGTCATAGCCACCCCACCAGGTAAGACAGGTGGTAGCAGAGGGTCTCCAGGTAAGTGGAGGTGAATCGTCATGTGTGTACCTGGTCTCAGGGAGGGGGGAGAGTTTTAAAGGTACTTGGAGGTGGCACGACGTAGGTAATTGGGAGGGAAGGTGTCAGAACTATCACCACTGCCACCACCACACCAAAACATCACCACCACACCATAGCATCACCCGCCACATCAACACCTTCAGGAGGGCGTGGCAGGTGTGACAGTAATGACAGGTGTAGGCAGGTGTTGACAAGTGGCCAAGCGAAGATCCTCCTAAAAAAAATGTACACACACACACACACTGTACACCAGCCTGAGATCCACCTTTTCTCTTCCTTCCTTCCTTCCTTCTCCCTCCTCTTCCTTCCCTGTCTCCTTTCTTCTCTCCCCTTCTTCCCCCCCCAGTGAGAGGTAGGTGTCATGAGGGAAAGTTGACAGACAGTTTGACACTCGAAGGAGGTGCTGAGGGACAGAGCCTGGCAGGAAGGAGGAGGAGGAGGGAAAGGGAGGAAGGAGGAGGAGGAGGAAGAGGGCTAGGACATTACACACACACACACACACACACACACACACACACACACACACACACACATATCAATAACCCAAGTTAAAACCAACAATAATAACAGAATAACTACAATAATTGTCTTCCTTGCACCAGGTAAATCATTGTCCAGGTGTATATAAATAATAATTAACGAGACGCTAAAGTGCTTGAGTGCGCACGCAAAAAAAAAAACATCACACAAGAATATATAGTTTATTTTTAGACACGTAATTATATGGTGTTAATAATACCTCTTAATGAAATAAGTTATGGTAATGGGTTGGTCTTTAGAGTACGAGGATAATCCCTTGAGTACTATGGTTTAACGTGTTGAGTACAATGATGGTTTTAACCTTTTTGAGTACGACATCGCTTTGATCCTTTGAATACGATGAATTAATCCCTTGAGTACGATAATTTAGTTCCTTGAGTACGAAGATTTAACCCTTTGAATACAACGTTATCGTACTCAAGGGGTCAAGTCATTGTACTCAAGGGATTAAATCATCGTACTTCCAGTTAGCAGTTACCTACAGTCACTACCACCAGTCAGCTACCTTCAGTCGATAGCATCAGTCAGTTACCTTCAATCAGTAGCACCAGTCAGTTACCTTCAGTCACTACCACCAGTCAGCTTAACAGTTATAACTGGGGTCATCACCTGGGTTACATTAGGACAATTCGATACCCTCCCTCCAGGTCAACGGCCCTATGAATATTTAATGATCCTCTGGCCAGTGTGGAGGGAGGGAGGGAGGGAGGGAATGAAGGTGGAATGGAGGGAAGGAAGGAGGAATAGAATGACGGTGAAGGGACAGAGAGAGAGAGAGAGGTAGGTGAGCCAGGTATGGACAGGAAGGGATGGAGGTGAGGGAGGGTTGGGAAATGGCGCAGTCAGGTTGATATGGACAAAGGTCAAAGTTTATATACCCGGAAAAATTTGGGAGGGAGGGAGGGAGGGAGGGAGAGTGGAAGGGAGTTTCGGAAAGATAAAGGAAGAGGATGAAAGAAGAGCCAAGGAAGAGGAGAGAGGGAGGGAGGGAGGGAAGAGGATTGTTGTCATGTAAAAGGAACCACAACAAATCCACATCCACCTTCACCACACAAACACATACAATCATCATCTTCACCACAACACCTCCAGCCCATCCAAAAAAAAAAAAAGAGTTAATCACAAAGACACAACAGACTACTCAACAAACACACGATCCCACTTGTATGTAAAGCTTACCTGGTGTAGACTCTTGGCTGTTGAGTCTGTCGAGCTCTCTAGCGGAGTACAGAGGCGTGTTAACTTGATAGGTGTTGTTGAAAAGAGAATAATCCACGGCATACTCCCCCATATCCTTGCTAAACGTCACTAGGGGCTCGAAGCGGTACCCCCATAGGATCTCATTGGGTAGATAGGACGATCTAGCTTGGGTGGTCATACCTGTAGGAGTCGTCGACGAAGGAAGAAAAAAAGAGAAAGGAAAAAAAGGTGGTGAGTGAGGTGTTTCCTGAGATGGTTATGATGACTTATGATCTACATACAGGACAGATGTTGATGGGAGTTTTGATGCGTTCCTAACTACACTGATTTATGGGTTCAAACGTTCTAACTACACTGATTTTGGGTTCAAACGTTCTAACTACACCGATTTATGGGTTCAAACGTTCTAACTACACTGATTTATGGGTTCAAACTTTCTAACTACAATGATTTATGGGTTCAAACGTTCTAATTACACTGAATTATGGGTTCAAACGTTCTAATTACAATAATTTATAGGTTCAAGCGTTCTAACTACACTGATTTATGGGTACAAACGTTCTAACTACACTGATTTATGGGTTCAAACGTTCAAATAATATTAATTTATGGGTTCAAACGTTCTAATACCACAAATTCGGGGTTCAAACGTTCCAACAACACTGATTTGTAGGTTCAAACGTTCTAATTTCACTGATTTATGTGTTAAAACGTTCTCCTAACACTAATTTATAGATTCAAACGTTCCACCGACACCTCAAGTAACACCATAAGAGGTTCAAGCACAGCAACAACAAGTAGCACATACTGTAAACTAACCTGTCGACTCAATAACACCCTCGAGTATGACGACGATCTCAAACTTCTCTCTGAGCAGGTCGTGGGCGGACAGGTCATAGAGAGGTGAGTTCTCGTTGATCTTGTGCACGATGGTCATGGGCCAGATGAAGAAAATCCGATCTTCACCGATATCGTAACCCACATCGAGCTCGTATTGGAAGAATGGTAAGATTTCCCCCTCTCTCGTTACTCTCTTCCGGATAAGTTGGGCCCTCACGTGTGCTTCGATAATGTGGGATTTCCTCATGTCTCCTACACGGAAGAGGAGACACATTTCACCGTCACGGACACATAGACACGCATTCCTGGAGAACATCAACGTCTGTGTCCGTTTTTTGGGTCGTGATAATTTGGCGAAGACGATGCCGACCATAAATGCCTGTGTGGGGAAGAGAGAGAGAGAGAGTGAGTGAGTGAGACGTGGTGGGTGTTGAGGTGGGGTGGAGAGAGAGAGAGAGAGAGAGAGAGAGAGAGAGAGAGAGAGAGAGAGGAGGTAATAAATATGACAATAGTATGACAGACAATTCCAGAAAGTGCTCATCAACTACCACACACACACACACACACACACACACACACACAGTAATTACCATGAGCATCACACCTTGACACCACCACCAAAACACAGAGTTGCCTCATTTACGTGTGGTTATGTCAGGTGAATATTTCAACAGGTTTCACCACAGGGTTCCCAGTCATGTGTTAGTTACCCGAGTCCTACATATCCTCAAAGTGAACCATTCTTAACTTTTATTTAACCCCGAGAGATGTGAAGGATCCCCGTAGCTAACTGAGTGAGAAATATTATACAGAAAACAACAAGTAATTTGAGAGAGAGAGAGAGAGAGAGAGAGAGAGAGAGAGATAAGGGAATAATAGGGAGGAGGAGGTGTTTAACATTTATGCAAGAACTAAAGTCTTACTGAAACACCTGTGATATAGAGACACCTGTGATGAAGGAACACCTGTGACTAAATAACACACTATGGAACACATATTTGACTTAACAACACACTTATGACTCAAACACACCTGTGACTCAACAATACACTCTCATGTGACTCAAAAACACACCTGTGACTCAAAAATACACACCTGTGACTCAACAACACCTGTGACTCAACAACACACCTGTGACTCAAAAATACACACCTGTGACTCAACAACACACACCTGTATCATAACACCTGTGATGCTCTGGATGCACATGACAAATATGGCCTCGGGACACTTCTCGGTGGTGTGTCTGGAGCCGTAGCCGATGGTGTGCTGAGTCTCCACGCTGAAGAGGAAACAGGACGTGAAGCCGAAGATATTGAACACACACGGCGTCCACCTGGGGGAGGAAGAGCCACCTGATTACACCTGGGTAGAGGAATCTTAAGTTAATTTCACCCATAACTCGCTTCTCATATTTACCGGGACTGTAACTTGCCTCTCACACACTATAACTGACCCCCCCCCTTCCTTCCCACACACACTATAACACCACGTTCCCTTTATACTTACTGGGAATCGGTCTGTTTGCCGGGAAGGTTCTGCTCGTCGAAGTCACCGTGGACATAGGCGATGAGCCACCACACCACAGCGAACATAAGCCACGAGCTGATGAATGACATAGCGAACACCAACAGCGTCCACCGCCACTGTAAATAACAACACAACCTACGTCAGATGTAGAAACAAAAGACGGATGATACTTTTTTTTATTCTAGATATTTGAAAAACAAAAGGCGAAAGATTCTTATTTTTTTATCTGAATAACAAAATACAAATGATTCTGTTTTTAATCTTAATAACAAAAGACAAACGAATCTTTTTTCTTTAAATCTCAGTAACAATAGCCGAGCGATTCTTATCTTTATATCTGAATAACAAAAGACTAATGATTCTGTTTTTAATCTTCATAACAAAAGACAAACGAATCTTTTTTCTTTAAATCTCAATAACAATAGCCGAGCGATTCTTTTTTTATATCTGAATAACAAAAGATTAACGATTCTGTTTTTTAATCTAAATAACAAAAGACAAACAATCCTTATTTTTTAGATATCTGAAAAAAAACCCAAACGTAATCATTTTAATGTTTGTAATCGACAAGAAATTATTATTTATGTTTACACCACAGAATAAAATATTGAGAATTACTAATTATTAAGAGGACAATGTTTACTTTGTGATGTGTTTACCTGTCCGAAGTGTTTGAGGATAATGTTTAATGGTTAAATAATAGTTTGAGGATAATGTTTAATGGTTAAATAATAGTTTGAGGATAATGTTTAATGGTTAAATAATAGTTTGAGGATAATGTTTAATGGTTAAATAATAGTTTGAGGATAATGTTTAATGGTTAAATAATAGTTTGAGGATAATGTTTAATGGTTAAATAATAGTTTGAGGATAATGTTTAATGGTTAAATAATAGTTTGAGGATAATGTTTAATGGTTAAATAATAGTTTGAGGATAATGTTTAATGGTTAAATAATAGTTTGAGGATAATGTTTAATGGTTAAATAATAGTTTGAGGATAATGTTTAATGGTTAAATAATAGTTTGAGGATAATGTTTAATGGTTAAATAATAGTTTGAGGATAATAAAGTCATTAGTTCCCAAGGCCACACTACAATACCAGGATATCGTAGGAAATATAGCACAACACAATACCTGGATATCAACAAGCGTGGTGAAGATGTCCTGTAGGTACCGTCGGCGCCTCTTGGCAACGTTGGACGGGGATACATTACACTCGCCGTTTTTCTGCACCACTCTCTTGCGCATCTTCTTGCTGCTGATGCGTGTGTGTCTGTACCTGCCGACATCAAAAATCTGGATTACTTATGGATTCTCAATAAGCGGGATAAGAAGGCGAGATAATTAAGTAAGATTTTTCCTGGATTTTTATTTTTATATTTTGGGGGAGGTGGATTCAATTTTGGATTTTTCACCAACCCAAAACCAAATAAAAAAGTGGATTGATTTGTAATTAAAGAGATTTGATTGTTGGATTAGGATGTTATTGAATGATTGTGTGTGAAATATTAAGTTTATTCGAATTATTTATGTAAACCCAGAGTTTATTAGATTAAACAGATTTTAACAGTTTACTGTAAATATGAAAATTTGTATAAATCTTTCGTTACTTTATTAACGTCAAAACATTTTTTTTTCTGGGATACAAATAGTTTTTAATGTCCAGGTTTTTATGATGGTCAACCTTACGACTAAATATAGTATAGAAGGGGTTGTGTTGTCTTAATACTATGTCCGGGTTAAATGAGTGATTTAGAGTACGGGTTGCAGTGTTGTGAGAGAACTTGAGGAGATTCTCGTGGTTTGTGAGTTTAGAGGCAGAAGATACAAAGCGTGGAGTGTAAAGATGGAAAATACATCCAATAACATGTAGAAATGGGAATCAGATACAAAAAAATTATTCACACTAAATATGGCAATAGTTCACAACAGCGCTCATGAGAAGAAACAACTTTCGGGGAAAAAATCTATAGATGAAAATTATTTCTTATTTCTCAAATAAAAATAAATAGTTTGAGGAATTACGACTTTCCTACTTTAGTATTTCTCTAGTTATTGTTAAGATCCGGCGGGAAAGTGAGGGGAGCTGCCTTCTTGACGGTTAAGCGACCTTCCTAGCGAACGTTAAGTACAAGCTATTAATAACATAATAACACCCTAACCAACCTAACCTAATCTAAAATAATGCACTACCATCCTTTGATAGGTACGTTAGGTTGGGTTAGGTAGGTTAGTTAAGGTTTGGTTGGTTGGTTTATCTTATTTTCGAGAAAAAAATAGCTAGTCGCTGGGAAACGTTCGCGGGCATGATGTATAAAACGCTGGCCCGGACAAAATCGCCACACTAATAACACGAATATTTCCTTAATACCTCGTCGTTTGTTGGTATATTAACTCAAAAAATAAAATTTAAGAATGTCTGTACATATATATTTAAAAGTTACAACCAGTTTTCCGAGTTTATGTAACAGCAGCATTAATAACTGTGAGAAGTTGATTTGTCTTATAACGCTTGCGTAAACAGCTGACAATGGCGGCGTCAAACTCGAAACAAAAAGTAGGAAAGTTACAATTACTCCAAACTATTTTTTTTTTAATATTCAAGAGATAAGAAACATTCCTTTCTATATAAATTTTTCCTCCGGGTTTCTTCTGACGAGCGCTGTTATACACTATTACCCTCAACACTACTACCAATGCAGGTTATTGCTTAAACTATCAAGTGAATAACTTAAAATAGGTAATGCAAATATTGACCTGTGATATAAAGGATCCATAATAATATAACTTAATGTAAAAGATAAATGTATTCAACTCATTGCCTCTAAATGTAGTCATGTTGCCTCAGTGCCATTATGCTACCTTAGTTGCCATTATTCCTAACCCCAGTGCCATTTTCCTAACCCAGTGTCGTTATTATTAAACCCAGTGCCATTTTTCTAAACTTCAGTGCCATTATTCTTAACCCCAGTGTCATAATCCTAACCCCAGTGCCATTATTATTAACCCCAGTACCATTTTTCTAAACCCCAGTGCCATTATTATTAACCCGTGTCATAATCCTAACCCCAGCGTCATAATCCTAACCCCAGTACCATTATCCTAACCCCAGTGCCACTATTCTTAACCTCCGTGCCATTATCCTTACCCGTGTCATTATTCTTACCCCCATGCCATTATCCAAACCCCAGTGCCATTATTCTTACCCCCATGCCATTATCCAAACCCCAGTGCCATTATTCTTACTCCCCGTACCACTATCCTAACCCCAGTGCCATTATTCTTAAACCCCGTGCCATTATCCTTACCCCAGTGCCATTATTCTTAACCCCCGTGCCATTATCCTTACCCCAGTGCCATTATTCTTACCCCAGGACCATTATCCTTACCCCAGTGCCATTATTCTTACCCCAGGACCATTATCCTCACCATAGTGCCACCCATCCTGTAAACCTTTAGTGGTAACCCTGCTAAAATTACTAACCAATCTAGGAGTTATCTTGGCACCCCTGAGCCAGTAGTGCCAACCTAGCGAGACACCTTGTAGTGCCACAAACCGAGCGTCAGGTGAGGTGTGTGCTTGTTAATTAGTTACCTGAGATAATTAAGGGAGGTTCAACACATCTCTGGGATCAAAAGAGGCTGCCAACTGTGCTCTTTTTTCTGTCTGTCTGTCTGTTTGTGTTTGTCTCTGTCCATGTCTCTCTTTCTCTCTGTTTGTTTTCTCTGTCTGTCTGTCTATCTGTCACTGTGTGTGTGTGTGTGTGTGTTTGTTTGTTTCCGGGAATCCAATTGTATATTTCTATTCATTTACAATTAATTTCTTATCAACATTATTACGAATCACGCCATCTATTGTGTCATGATCTAACTACCCAGCACTACCGAGCAACGCCATCTAGGGACGCGACCCGAGTATGACTAGTCTTAGTCACCACTCCGGGTTTCCTTTCTCCATATCCTGGTTGTTGAATCACCCCCTCCAACTCTTCCTCATCAGCTCCGGATCGAGGAGAGTTCAGTTCACCCTGGGAAGTGACCACACTTGGATTACATATCCTGGAAACCTACGGCACAGTGACTACCTACCATCTTCTTCAATACTCAGCCCTACTCGTCAGACACTTCAGCACCGCACGTGAGTATTGTAACCCTATATTACCTCCCACCTCCACTTGTTTCAGATTGTTGTATGTTGTATAAATATGTATATACTGTTAAGCCAATGTTGCGTATGTTTAAGTTAAGTATGGTTAAGGGTAAATTATAGAAAGCTGGATATTTTGTTAAGGAATTTATTGTACTTTATTATACACAACAAAAACTCGCATCCTTTGTCTACCCTTTTATAGTCCGATTGTCTTTGTTTGTTTAGTTTTTTTATTGTTGTTGCCTGTTGGGATCTGCGTAGACTTTTAACCATATTCTAAACCAGTTTCTAAATCCCCAACTCGTAACAACATTATATTAAAAATAGAAAAATAAGAAGATAAATCTTGAACATAATAATAAATTGTATCACACATACACACACCACCAACTCTTAATATAAAAGAAGCCACTATCAAGCCATTAAGTAATACACCAATAATGCCAGTGTATTATTTTGGTGTTAAGTTCTTTCATTATTATGTTTTAGTAACTTGTAATTTGGGTTCGTCTATGTAGCACCCTCAAACACCACATATAATGAGACTTGGAAGGCTCATGTGTTGTCGTTTGTCCTTATGTTCTGTTATACATACAAAAAGAGGAGAAAAAATGAACGTCAACATTACTATAGGGAGAGAAAGGAATAAACAAAAAACAAATGAACATAAAAATTACTATAGGGAAAGAAAAGAATAAAAAAAAATGAGCATCAAAATTACTATAAGGAGCGAACAGAATAAAAAACAAATGAGCATAAAAATTACTATACGTAGAGATAATAAATCAAACGAGCATCAAAATTAATATAAGGATAGAAAAGAATAAAAAAAATGAGCATCATCTTTACTTCACTTATACCCTCGTTTATAATATGCCAATGATATAATAGTGTTGAATTTTGGATTGAATTTAACAACGAAAAAAAAAATGCTCTTTGTTATGTTAGGAGAATTGTCCTCAGTTCAGGCTATTTATTGTAGTGATATGAGAGAAAGATAAAGCAATTTAGTTTTGTTATTCTGTATGACTGGACGTGATAAGGAGTCGACCTTCAGTTTTCGCGGGTTTTATTTCTGGCTATTCACCGTGTTTATTATTCTTGTTTATTATTACTATCATCATTTTTGCTTATTATTACTGTTATTTTTTATTATTATTATTATTATTATTATTACTATTATTACTATTATTACTATTATTATTGTTACTATTATTATTACAGTCTTTGTTAATAGTGAGCTTCAAGGTCGTGTTGTGATTTGTGTTGTGTTAATTTCTTTCGTACTGTCTAGTGTGGTGGTGAGAGTAGTGGTGGTGATGGTGGTAGTGGTGATGGTGGTAGTGGTAGTGGTGATGGTGGTAGTAGTGATGGTGGTAGTGGTGATGGTGGTAGTGGTGATGGTGGTAGTGGTGATGGTGGTAGTAGTGATGGTGGTAGTGGTGATGGTGGTAGTGGTGGTAGTGGTGATGGTGGTAGTGGTGATGGTGGTTGTGGTGGTGTTGGTTGTTAAGGTTTTAAAGTTAGGCTAGGTCATGTCTCCTCCTCCTCCTCTTAGCTTTCAGTTTAATAGCCTTTTATTGAAGCGTTTTTATGGCCCAGTTTTTATTACACACCAAGAGACGATAAACTACGAACGATGAATTAAGGGAATGCGGCGAGGAAAAGGTAAATAAAAGTGTAGAATAAAATAAACAGTTAAAGTAGCCACAGTCAACACGCAAGGTGAGAGGCATTTGTTTCTGTCGACCCCAAATGTAAACACGAAGCGCAAGAGGTCGTCCGGCAATACTCACTTTGGGACGTAGAACGAGGACTTTTTCTGACGTCAGGGGCGGGGTGGGGGGCACACACACACACACACACACATGCTTGCTTGCTACTCCAAAAGGTTCAACCAAAGTGTAATGATCTCAAAGCAAGCATAGATACGCACAACCAACCCACGCAAGCACAGACAGGACTGATTACTTACACACACACACACACACACAAACCACTGCGTCAAACACGCCATGTTATTACCAAGATAAGATTATGGCTTGCTGCAAGAACCAGAGGTGGGGGTATGTGAGAGGGGGAGGCGAGGTGGTGGGGGAGAGGGAAGGGGGAGAAGGGGGAAAGGTGTG